TAACCTCTAACATCCCTTTCAGATAGAAATCCTAAGAAGAGGAAGGGGATATTGTGTGGTGGGCAGGGTGGAGTAATCTAACATGGCTGAGAACTGGTACATTCAGAGGAGAAGGAGCAGCAGTTGCCCCAGTAAGAACAGCTTGTCCCAAATGGGAGGCTCAAAGACAGTAAGAGTTCTGCTTCTGGCCCTTCTGTGCCACAAACTACAGTTGGTACTGAGTTAAGGAAGGCAGTTCTCCAAATGTATGTATACGTTTATATGTGGGTTAAGTTGCATGCTATCAGATTTTTTTTTTTTGGTTTGGCAGGAGAAAAAAAATTCAAAGCCTCGGACAATGGTTTATTTTACTTAAAGTACTGTTAGATAAAACAAAATTCCAGTACAACAAAATTACTTGGAATGCCCAGTAGGGCATTTTGTAATGGGATTCACCTTGAAATTTAAACTTCAGCTCTGTTTTACTACAGATAGCCCTTGAGTCAGAAACTCTTACTATAGGATGGAGGCAGATTTAATTTGAAGGATTTCATTCCCTTTTCTTGGTTCATAAACCTTTGCCCAGAAAACCTGGGAAAGTTTCCAGCTTGCAGCACATCTATGCACTTAAAAGCTTACAGTTTACTATAGTACTAAATTTGCCATGACACAAAAGGAGTCAATACATTTTACTGTTTTGCCAACAATATAGGCATTTAAAAAACACCACCACCCAGTTTGCATTCCAAGTTGAAGGCAATAATTTTCTGCTAAAATGAAGTGTCCCCAGAATGGTTTTCAATGCTATAGCCATTCAGCAACAGAGGTGTTAGAATTTGGGAGGATGTACCAGGTACAGTGGAAAGCATACTAGCTCTTCAATCAGAGGACTTGAGTTCAAATCCTGCCTCTTGGCATTTACTATGAATGTGACATTGGGCAAGTCACTTAACTTCCCTCTTCTTCATTTTCCTTATCTATAAAATGTGAGAAGGTTGGCCTCAGTGATCTTTCAGGATCCTTCTGATCCTTCTGGCTTGTTCTTCCTCAATCCCTTCTATTCCCTTGACTATTTTCAATTTAAAAAGCTCTGGCAGCAAAATGAGAATTCAGAGGGTGTTCTCATACTTTGGAAGTGCCAAAGTATCAGCAGACATCATTGCTGTTGAGTGGTGGGTAGAAGGGACATGAGGAAACTTCCAGTTGGGACCAGACATCCCCAAATCCCACCATATGCCCCATTCAAAGAGCATCCTGTTTTACTTCTAGTGATCTGAGCTTTGATCAGAAGTCACTTGTGAAATGTCTTGAATCAAAAATAAAATCTAACACCAAAAAATCAGAATGGGGAGCCACAAAACTTAAAATAATTCTGCCCAATTTTAGCGCGACATAATCAGGAACTGTGTGGTTTTTTTGAGACAGGAAGAAGGGAATGGAATGACACAGAGCCTAGGATCCACCCTCTGAATACCCTTTGTTTGGCATGCACCGTCGTCCCCAAGTTGAGGATGATTGTCATGTTTGAGGTCAACCTTTTGTACATCCACCCCCCCCCCCACAACATTATAGTTGTAGGCAGGGAGAATTTTTTCCCTCTACAGTAAATTCTACGATGGCCCTAACATGGATTTGATCCTTGGTACTATAAGCTAAAGAACTGGGGGGGAGCTTTGGGTCAAAACTCTAATAGCCACTGCTGTGTTCCTTTTTAGGAGTTAGCTTAAATTCTGTTGGAATGGGTGGTAAATTCTAACACTTGGTAGTTCTACTTGTATGGAATCTAAGTATCGCGCATTTCCCCCTTGGCGTGGCCTGAGCAAAGAGATTTGGAGAGCTGGTACCCTTCCTAATACAGAGGAAAGAACTGTCCCCCGGGCTGTTTAACTATTGCTTGCTATTTAAACAAAAATGGGTACAAGAGTTCCAGTAGCTTGTGTACTAAAGCCAAAGTCAATTCAGGGTCAATATGTATCCAGGGAGTGTTATTTTCCTGCTTCTTCTAAAATGAACTGAATACTAGTTGGTAGTAATGGTGGCTGATGATGGTCTTTTTTCGAAGGGCATATGTGGTTACAATGTCATCATCATTAGAGTGGCTCATAATGTGTATTACTAATTTTATATGACCACTTCTAGGGGTGTGGGGGGTAAGTTAATAGTTCTATGGCCTGGTTGAGTCTTAAGTTGTTTCTTCTTAGTGTCGTGCCTCGTGAGTTCCCTGTATTCTTGAAAATACTTGGATAGCTCTCAAAGTATAATTCACGTATTACTGTGCTGACTCATCAAAACATCCTGAGGGCTAATCAGTGGTAGAGCCAAAAACCAAAGAATCCCAGAGTTGGAAGAGGTCCAGTCTATACCTTAATCATTGAATTGATCCAGGTACAGCAGGTCCTACTTCAAAAGTAGAGTAGGTGGTGAAATGGATAGAGCACTGGCCCTGGAGTCAGGAGAACCTGAGTTCAAATCTGGCTTCAGACACTTGACACTTACTAGCTGTGTGACTCTGGGCAAGTCACTTAACCCTTGATTGCCTAGCCAAAAAAAAAAACAAAACCCAGTAGACTATGTTGGCTTACTGTTATAGACACAAGTAGGAAAAAGATGAACTAGGGGGAAAAGTGTCTTTAGAATTTAAACACATTGCGGCAGCTAGGTGGTGCAGTGGATACAGCACTGACCCTGGAGTCAGGAGGACCTGAGTTCAAATCTGGCTTCAGACACTTGACACTAGCTGTGTGACCCTGGGCAAGTCACTTAACCCTATTGCCTAGCCAAAAAAAAAAAGAATCCTAGCTTTTATGAGGGGCAGCTAGGTGGCGAAGTGGATAGAGAACCAGCCCTGAAGTCAGGAGGACCTGAGTTCAAATCCAGCCTCAGACCAAACACTTGACACTTACTAGCTGTGTGACCCTGGGCAAGTCATTTAACCCCAATTGCCTAAAAACAAACAAAAAAAATCTAGTACTTTGTGTCTGCTTTAATATTTGAGGGAATGACTGGGCTCTGAAAGTGTTCTAGAAAGGCCTGAGGATTGTTTGTATATTTGATCATTCAGTACAGTTAGTTTCATAGAATCTTAAAACTGGAAGGGTCTTAGTATCCACTTCCTCTCTTTCATTTTATAGATAAGGAAATTGAGTCCTGGAAAAATCAAGTGATTTGCCTAAGAAAATAAAGCTAAATAGTGCTGCTGTGAAGACTAAAACTAGCATTGTGCTAGTTAATGTTTAGCAACCACTTTTTAATAAAGAAATTTTTAAAGGATGTATACATGCCACACTTTTAAGTTTAATCTGCATTATTATTCTAAACTGGAGGTTTCAAACACTCCATGGTGCTGGCTGAACCATATTAAAATGTTATTGGGAAACATCTAACAAAAAAAAATGTTTCCCAATTACATTTTAATAACAGATCTCCTTAATAAGAGGATTTGTTCTGTAAAACTTGGACTCAGTCAAAAGCCCCCCCACCCCGGACCTAGGAGGCCACAGGTAGCCTTGAGGCTGCAGGTCCCCCACCCCTGGTCTAAACAATTAAACAAAACATAAGTCAAGTCCTGATTTGTAGCTTGCTGATTTCTGACATGTCAATGTTCACTGAAAATTTAACAATTAGCTAGCTCCATCATATCCTCACTAGAATCTAGTTTTCGAATCCATTGTATATACTACTATACCACATTCCTTCTTTAATAAGGCAAGAGTACTTTGAGTCATGGAATATGACCAGTATAGATAGTTGAAGGACCTAAAACTGAAAATAAGAAGTTATGAAGTATAGGGGGGAAAGGGAATGTAAAGGAATACGCATTTCTATGGTGCCTACTGTGTGCCAGGCACTGAGCTAAGCATTTTTACAAATATTATCTCTTTTTGATCCTACAGTAGCAGAAAGAGGGCAGAGTCACAACACCTGGATTCAAATACTAGATCTACTGCTGACTAGCTCTCTGACCTTAGATGAGTCATTTAAACTAACCAAGTAAACTTTGTATCCTCATCTGTGAAATGGGGAGAATAACATGTGCCTTACTGTACCTTCTAGGGTAGAGTTGCAAGCGTCCAATAAACTAATATCAGTAAAGTGCTTTGCAGTGGTAAAGGCAGGGATGTGCTGAAGCCAGTTAGAACAGGCTGGGAGCCAATTTACACCTTGGAAATAAGCCATTACTACAAATCAAGGCTTGGTTTGTTGTTTTGTTGATTGTCTAGACTTAAGAAAGTGATGGAGAAAATGTTAACTTAAACGTATTTTGTGCATATATTCCCCCTCCCCTCCAGAAAGCTGGTTGTTAAACATGACTAGCACACCCCTGGAAAGCACTATAAAAATAAGATACAGAAGTAGCTTTAGCCATCACCATGGTTACAGCTGCCCTCATCCTAAGCAGTAAAGCTAGTGATAAAATTCACTGAGGAATCTCCCATCTTCTGCCCTTGAGTCAGAGCCATATTAGAGGTCCAAGAATGTACAGAGAGTAGAGCTGTTATGCAAAGACAGAGCTGCCTGCCTTTCCCTTAGCCCTGTCCTAAGTGGAGTGAGAGGGAAGTCAAATGGTCATTTGTCACTTTGGCATGGGCAGTAAAGATAATAACTGATTCAGATTTGACATATCTTTTCTTCTTTCAAACCAATTAATTATCTTCTCTCCTGCAGAGAAAGAGAGAGAGAGAGAGAGAGAGAGACACACACACACACACACACACACACACACACACACACACACACATACACACACACACTGTTATCATTTGGGGACTGTCAAATCATGGGTCTGACAAATGATCCCTTTTCTAACAGTGAAATGTGGTCTTGTGCGTGTGTGTTTTAATAGCACTTCGCTTTTGAAACCCATATAAAAGTCATGAGACCCATAACATAAATCATTTATGGTTTACCATGATTACTTTCAACACTTGCTTGTTTTATAAGATGACCAGGATTTTCTAAAGGCATTTGCAAAAGACTATAAAGCTTCTATCTAATGTGTTTCTTTCTTTTCCTTTATGTAGTTCCCTATGTACTAAGGAGCTGTGCAGAATTTATTGAGACTCATGGCATTGTGGATGGAATCTATCGACTTTCAGGAGTAACATCAAACATCCAAAAACTGAGGTATTCTAGCCTTGCATACCCTAACTCACAGCAGGACCATAACTGACCCCTCCCAAACTGATGAGTGCATTCAGGTTCTCTTGGGGCCAGGAATTCCAGGGGTGATTATGGTGCTTTCAATCAAGAGTTTCTGCATCAAGTCCAATACAAATATCTCCAATAAAATGTCTAGGGGAATTTATTTTGCTTCTCTGGATCCCTGATGGGTACATTTGATTTCAGCAAAATTTACAAGTAGGAAAGGCTGGAGTTATTTTTCCCAATGACAGTAAATTCTTGTTTTGTTTTGTTTTTATAGAACATTAACACTTATTCTTAATAAATCTCTAGGTAACCCTATTACTGAATTGTGCTAAGTCCTTGAAATCCAAACAGCTATAGAAAGTCCATTAGTGAACTGAAGGGTCTTCCCCTAACTTTCTTATACCTGTAATGATGAGTATAACCATAACAACAGTTTTGTCTATTTTGGAAACTGTTCTTTAGCCATAAAGATAAACTCAAAGATAAACTCATTTTAGTTAAACTTATGTTTGTATATTTTTAGGCTACTTTAATCATAAATAAAAGAATTGCCAACACAGAATTAGAGATTCTTTTAGCTAGGCTAACACGAAAATATACATCAATTATTCAAATAATAATCATCTATTTACTGAACCATAAACTAGAGGGAAAAAAAGACAAGCTTTCCAGCTTTTTCATTTCCCAAATGATTTCTTTCTTTAGAATGAAATAGTCAAAGAATTTTTTTTTCTGTAGAAGAAGACATTGCTGTTGCATGCTGGATTATTACTTCCAAAGATTCTGTCTGTGCTCAAGAGCTTGAGAAATTTGCGTTAGATCACTGGTTTGACTTTCTTCAAAAATTCATTAGCCATCATGTATTTTTGCCGGATGCTCAAGTCAACCAGTTCTTCAGCAGTTAAGGATTGACCCTGTACTGAGCACTAAGATTATTGGCAAGAAAATGAACTGACAAGAATGTTGGCAAGAAATTGAGCTGGCAAGAATGTTGGCTAGAAAATCTAGTTGCTTGTTACATTAATTTTTTTTTAAATGCCTATAAATTAAATTGGTCATTGTGTTTTTCTCTTTTCAAGGTTTTAGTTCCTTCCAAATTTTAACAGCATCAGAAATTTCATAGCATTTTGTTCAAGGTTATGGAAATAGACCTCAAAGATGGTCAGCATACCCTGTGTATTTCTTTTTAGCCAATCTTAGGAATATTATCTTGTCAGTTTAATCTGTTTTGTCAAAAGCCTAACCTGGGGGGCAGCCTCAGACACATAACACTTACTAGCTATGTGACTCTGGGCAAGTCACTTAACCCTGATTGCCTCACTAAAAAGGAGAAGGGAAAAAAAAAGCCTAACCTCGCTCTTCTGTATTAAAACTCAAAGATCTTACCATATAATTTAGAATTTAGCTTCTAGTCTCATGCCATTTTGAGACACTATAACTTGTATGAGAGGCATTCCATGAATTTGTCACAATAGAGCAGAGAAGACATCAGGGGCTCACTCATCCCTAGTAGAACTCCTCTCTAGATGCTAAGGTTTAGAAAATGCTGAGGTGCGGTGTGTCATGTGAATAAACAGCCAGCTTCAAAGCTAGGAAGACTTGGGTTCAGGTCCCACCTTGGACACATGCCATGCTGACTTGGAGCCCCTGGTCAGTATCACTTAACCTTTTGATGTCCTAAGTAACTATCTAAGAGTAGAAGCTGAAGAAAAGGTGCTGAATTTGCAGTGAACGAGGGGATTTCCTCTCCTGCTCCCTACACTAATGAAATCACAGGTCCAGTCCTATCTCTATTAATCATCAGAGCTGCTTAGTTTTAGTTCTCAGGTTGGATTTGTGCTGTTATAAATAAACAAACAAAAAACATGTTCGCTGATAATTATATATGGAAATAAGGAAAAGAAGGAAAAAAGAAACAGACCAGATCCACCCTATTTTCTCCTGCCTTCTCCCTACTCCCTACTCTTCCTTTCCCTTTTTGTTTCCCCTCCCCCTCCTCCTCCTTTTCCCTCTTCCCTTCCCATGCCTCTTCTCTTCCTCTTTCCTCTCTTCATCCTCCTCCTTTTTTCTTTCTCTTTCTACTCCATGTCTCTCCTCTCTGTCCCTCTACTCCTCTCCTTTTTTCTCTTCTCTCTCTCTGTCTCTCTCTCTCTCCTTGCCTTCCTCTCTCCTTCTGGAACATGTATTAAAAACTAAGGCTTCTTTTTAAAATCCATTTATTTATTTATTTTTGTGAGGCAGTTGGGGTTAAGTGACTTGCCCAGGGTCACACAGCTAGTAAGTGTCAAGTGTCAAAGGGCAGATTTGAACTCAGGTCCTCCTGACTCCAAGGCCGGGGCTCTATCCACTGCACCACCTAGCTGCCCCAAAAACTAAGTTTTTAATACTTATACTAGCCTAATTGTTTTCATCCCCACCATTTACATCTGAGGAATTAGAGACAGAACCCACTATGATAAACTCATTACTAAGTGATTGTTATGTCCTTCCAACGACTGAAGATGTTCTGGGGGAGTACAGAACTGAATGAAGAGTCTTCTCACAACTTTCCCTTAAAATTTTGCCTACAATAGAGGATCTTGGATGGGGGTGAGGTCAAGGTTGAAAGTACAGTTAGATCAGCCATTTCAGGTTGATGGTACTTTTATTCTGTCTGGCCCCGATAGATCTAATTTGTGTTCTTCAGTATTGTTATGTCTCTGTCTGTGTTGTTTCAGGCAGGAGTTTGGCTCAGATCAATGTCCAGATCTGACAAGGGAAGTTTACCTTCAGGACATTCACTGTGTGGGCTCCCTTTGTAAGCTGTACTTTAGAGAGCTGCCCAACCCTCTCCTCACTTATGAGCTCTACGAGAAATTCACGGTAAGCTTTTCTTCTTCAGTTACAGGGAGGTGGGTGGGTAGTGTGCATGGGTGTTTGGAAAAAGAGGTGATAGTTCTCTTCTCCTTCCAGTTTTGAATCTCAGGGAGTAGGTTGTTTTTTGTGAAGTGGGAAAAAATGACTCACAAATCCAATCTCATAGCTAGAGATTAATTATTATTATTATTTTTGTCAACCCTCAAAAATGCAAGCTATCCCCTTTATACTTATCTGTGGGGGTAGTGGGGATATTTGCTAAATTTCTTCCTCCACTGCTCTTTGCTTATTTCCTTTTAGGACTGAAGAAAGAGAAGAGAAAGGGCCTGGGGAGGGGGAAACAAATGAGAATCAAGAAGGAGGGAACAAGGCTAGGCTTGTATGGAGAAAAGCTGTTGGCAGAACATGTAGTCAGCTGAAATATAGCAAATAAACAAGAGTTAACTAAAAGGAAAGTTGTGGAAAGAAGTTTTGTTTTTAAAGGGCAGGTATAGTGAGCAAGTTGGACACTGGGAAAAAAATTGGGGAAATGCGTCTCTGTTCTTCTTCCCTTTGTATAGATGGGGGACTATGGCTATGGAATATGGCTTAGATTGTCAGACAAGTCTGATACATTCGTTTTCTTAAAGTGCTTTCTTTTCCTCTTTTTTAAAAAACATCTTTGTTATAAGGACTAGCTTTTTGGGGAATAGGGGAAAGAGAGATAAAGTTAGAAAGAAGTTTAGTAAAACAACATGTTAATAAAAATAAGATTTGTTAAAAATCCAGCTTCAAAACTTGGGCTTAAATTCTGAAAAAGGACAACAGTCCATAATAAACCAACCTAGCAGGCAGCAATCAGGGACCTGGGGCTTCAGGTTAATGTGAATCATAAAATCACAAATAAGTCACAACCCATTCTTCAAATACTAAGCACAGCTACAAAGCAAAGAGCCTTCTTCCTGTGGGCACACTGTGCTTCCAAAGCTATGTTTGCAGGCAAACCAAGGTCACAGCTGGGAAGCATCCTCTTTGAATGGGATGAAGGTAGAATTCCATTTGATCAAATTTAACAGTGCAGAAGTACAGAGGGACTGGGAGGCCTAGTGGAAGCAGCATTGGCCTTGGTACCACAAGACCTGGCCTTTAATCCCAGCTCTCCTACTCTCTAACTGTGTGATCATAGGTAAGTCACAACATCTCTGAGCCTTAGATTCCTCTTTTATAAAATGAAGATAATAATACCCACTCTGCCCATTTCACATTGTTATGAGACCTAGGTTAAAAGGTAACCAAGGTAGAGTGCTTTGGAAATTCTAAGGTGCTACATAAAAATAAGATTTTTTTCATATAATCCAATTTTATTTATATCTAATATGAATTATCTAGTTTTATTTGAATAAAGACCAATTATTCTCTTGTGTAGAGAGGACAATTTACGGATGGAGACAAAAGGAATGTTAGTGTCTGACCCTAACTTTACCTCAGTGTCATGGTGCACCAGCTCTTCCTTTCCAATGTCAGAAGGGGACTTTGACTGCCCCAGGGCTTTTTTTTTTTAACTGAGATTTACTAAGATTCTCTGATCCTTTTCTCTCTTCTTTATTTTTGTTTTGTTTTTGCTAGGCAGTGGGGTTAAGTGACTTGCCCATGGTCACACAGCTACTAAGGGTCTGAGGCCAGATTTGTACTCAGGTCCTCCTGACTCTAGGAACAGTGCTCTATCCACTGTGACACCTAGCTGCCCCAGATTCTCATATCCTTGAAGCCCAACCTGAAACCCGAGGCTCCTGAAACTTGTGACACCTCTGCCTGGCTTGATTCCCTCAGTTCAGGGATCTCCTACACATAAACTATTATTACCTGTCTCTCCACCCAGGTCACTTCCCAGCATCCACCAACTGCTTTCACTCACTACAGACCATGGGCACATTTTCTTGTGTTTATTAAATAAGGAAAGGAAAGGAAATGTGTGTTTTTATACACATTTAAAAATATATGCAGGTCAATGCAGTTAGAAATGTGTGTAGTCTATATTGTCCCATGCCCTCAACTTTTTCTAAGTTATCCACCTAGTCGGATTCTCTAGTAGCCAAGAATGGTGTCAACTGCATCTATAAATGAGAATGGCTTTATTTTAGAACATTGCTTGCTCACCCCCAAGACAATGAGTTTATTGGTTGAGTGGTACAGTTTCCCAATCTTAAGCTCACTCTTAGCCAGTCAGGAGGCTTTCTGAGAGTATGGATGGATCTGCTTGTCCCAATCCAAAATATTATGTAATTCTTGACTTCATTTCTCCATTCTCCCTTTCCCCCCAAACAGGGGACAAGCAAGGACATACAAACAAGTACATTAGCTTTTAATTATTTAAAAACTATTTTGGTTTTTTCCCCAGGGACATGTTAAAGCAATTTTTAGCACTTTTTAAAAAAGTATTGAGTTCCAAAGTCTATTCCTTCCTCCCTCCTGAGGGAGTAAGCAATTCAGTATAGGTTGTACATGTGCAATCATGTAAAACATTGCCATATTATTTATTTTGTACAAGAAGACTGGAGGGGGCAGCTAGGTGGCACAGTGGATAGAGCACCAGCCCTGAAGTCAGGAGGACCCAAGTTCAAATCCAGCCTCAGACCAAACACTAGACACTTAACTAGCTGTGTGACCCTAGGCAAGTCACTTAACCCCAATTGCCAAGAAGAAGAAGAAGAAGAAGAAGAAGACTCGAACCAAAAAAAAGACTCGAACCAAAAAAAAGAGTAGAACAAAAGTGAAAAATAGCATGCTTCAGTCTGTATTCAGACAACATTAGTTCTTTCTCTGGAGGTGGATAGCTTGTTTTATCATTATGGTATCACCCCTTATGTGTAAATCAAAACAAGCACCTCTCAGCCTCACAATCAAGAGTCAGTATGATACCCGGGTCTCCCCCAGGCTTCAGAAAAGACACATTCCCATTTTCCTCCAAAAATTACCAAACACGAAGTGAAATAGGGGTATGGATTGGGGGAGGGAAGTGGGTAACAGAAACTACTGTCTTCTTTTTCTTCAAGTTAGCCTCAGTGATGTTACTCTTAGTATAGGGTCCTCCAGTCTTTATTCACAAAAGAGAAAAGGAGATAATCCCATCCTTGTACTCCAATTTACCTTTGCTCCATTGGCTCATTATAAAGAGTCACCTTTGAAACCAGGAAGACCTGGGTTCTCTGTCACCTATTTGCTCTGTGATCTTGAACAAACCACAACCTCTCTGTTTCCTTATCTGTAAAATGAAGAGGTTGGATTCAGTGGCCTTTAAGATTGCTTCCAGCTCTAGGATTGTATGGCATTCAGTCGAGCTCACCCCTCATCCAAAGCCTCCTTTAGGAATGACTCTACAAACCAGGTTACTAGTTAGATTCAGTCCAGCACCCTCACCCTCACTCTCCGGTCAGCCTTCTCCTCTTTCATTGAACAATGGTTCACTATGGACAATTGAGGTTGTTAAAAATAGAAGCCAACTGTCCTGTGTCTTCACAATGGTAGCATACAAGTTCCATATTCTGGGCCTCAGCTTCCTCACCTTTAAAATGAGGAGGTTAGACTAGATGCTTTCTGGGGTATCTTCAAGTTCGAAATTCCTTTAGCCTGGTTAGTTCCTTGGGACACACTGGAGCTCTTTCATCTCATACTCCTGAGGATCAGTGTGCCAGTGTCAGTAGAGTTGGATCTGGAGTCAAAAGACCTGGGTTCAAATCATGATTCTGTCACACTCTACCTGTGTGTCCTTGGGCAAGTGACTTAATTCCTCCCTGCCTCAGTACTTTATCTGTAAAGTGAGAGGTTGGGAATAGATGACTTCGAAGACCTGTTCAGTCTCTAAATCTGTTGCCCTATGATCTGAATCTTAATTTGAACTCTCTCTGAATTTTGAATCTGCTTGGTTTCTTTAATTCAGAGATTCATTCTATTTGTATCTGGTTAGCTGTACACCACCATGTCCAAGTGTCTTTTTCTAGAATCCTTTCTACCCTGTATCCACACACCCTAGGCCAAAAGAGAGTCTTTTCTAGGGTTTATTAAACTAGAGAAAAGTATACATGTAAATTAAAGAACAAAATAGCAGATTAAGGTGATTAAAAATTAATATGTAAAATTAATCCCAGACTAGTTGATGGTCTTAACTTTTTTGGGGGGGGCAGCTAGGCAATGGGGTTAAGTGACTTGCCCAAGGTCACACAGCTTGTGAGTGTTTTGTGTGTGAGGTCCAGATTTAAACTCAGGTCCTCCTGAATCCAGGGCTGTTGCTCTATCCACTGCACCACCTAGCTGCCCAGTCTTAACTTTTTGAACTATTCTCTCAGACCTAGCTTGTCCATCCTGGTTCACAAGATTACGAGTTTCACAACTTCATCCATGTTCCTCATGGCCCCAGAAAAGAGTGGATTCTTCAATCTAGAGCACCCTCCCCCACCCCCATCAGAATTTACTCTCATCCCCTTTGAGCACTAGTCCATTCTTCCATTCTTAGGATCATTCTCAGCTAATCAGGAAGCTAGTAGCAGCATAGTAGATAGAATGCTGGACCTGAAGTCAGGAAGATCTGAGTTGAAAGTTAGCCTCAGACATTTGCTTAACTGTGTCACCCTAGCCAAGGTATTTGACCTGTGTCTTACTCAGTTTCCTCATCTGTAAAATGGGCTGTAGGAGTAAAAGGCAAACCACTCCAGTATCTTTGCCAAGAAAATCCTAAATGGGGTCACGAAGAGTTGGACACAACCAAAAAACAAGTGAATAGCAAGAAATCAGGATAATAATAGCACTTACATTCCAGAGTTGTTGTGAGAATAAAGTGAATTAATATCTCTAAAGGGCTTTGTGAATGTTTAAAAGTAGTGCATAAATGCTAGCTATTGTGGTAGGTTTATCATGGTCTATCCATAGTATTATATATTCTTTTAGTTAATGAGATATCTAATTTTCCCTCCATCCATCAAAGAACAAATAAAGAAATAGAATAAATATATTAACCTGGTTTCCATCATCTCACACAATTAAAATAAATTGACCTGAAACACCCTCCCCAGCACACATTTCAGAAAAGACTCCCCCTAAACTCTCCAGTTCCCTTCATCTGGTCTCTTTATGTGTTTTCCTGCTAGAAGATTCAGTATCTTCCCCATTTCACTTGCCATACTTTTCTAACCACCATGTTCTATTATCTGCATGCAACAGAATACTGAAACTAAAAACAGACACAACTTTTTCTCATCTCGCTCTTGTTATATTTTTTTCAATTAATAAAAATATAATATTCTCTCCTTCCCACCTCCTTTTTTTTGGTTTGTTTGTTTTTTGTTTTTGCTAGGCAATGGGGTTAAGTGACTTGCTCAGGGTCACGCAGCTAGTAAGTGTTATGTGTCTGAGGCCGGATTTGAACTCTGGTCCTCCTGAATCCAGGGCTGGTGCTCTATTCACTGCGCCACCTAGCTGCCCCTCCTTCCCACTTCCTTCACCTTCCTTCTCCTTCTCTGGAAAGAAAAAGAAAAATCAAAACAAATTCCCACATTGGATAGATTTTAAAACTATATACCACATCTGGTACCCTAAATCCATCACCTCTCTGTTAGGTGGTGGATGACGTGCTTCTTTTTTGATTGTTGGTCATTGTAGTGCTCAAAGTTTTCAGTTCTTTCAAAGTTATTTGTCTTTACAATATTGTTGTTATTAAGTTGTTCTCCTAGTTCAGCTTGCTTTTGTTTGTATCAAGTCATACAAGTCTTCCCAGGTTTCTCTGAAACCATACGTTTCATATTTTCTTGTGACAATAACATTCCATTACCTTCATATATTATAATTTGTTAAACTGCTTCCCAATTGATGGGCAGCACTTTTGTTTCCAATTCGTAGTCATTACAAAAAAAGCTACTACAAATATTTTCATACTTGTGTATCTTTTTCCTTTCTTTCACCTCTTTGAAACATAGGCCTTATAGTGATATCCTATAGACAAAAGCTTATCTTAATACTTATTTCTAAATATACTATATTTAGTACATAGTAAATATACTAAATATCATAATACAAATATTAATACTATTTATACCGTATTCAAAGACATATAGTTAACATGGCAAGTATAAATACTCAGGTGACAATGTCTTTGATATAAGGTTGACTTAAACATGGGCAAGAAACCAGCAAAAGAGGATTCAAGAGCATTAGTCTAGTAGAGTCTTCTTTATAATTAAGAAAGCATATTGCATTGAACCATTGCCTTGAACATGCTTATAGAATCCACTTATTATACATGACAGTGATCATGTTTAATAGTGTTGATCAAGTTTAGATTAACAAAAAATAAATCATGATAATTATAAAGCAGCGAATTGACACAGTGCATAGAGTAGTAGAGTTGGAGTTAGGAAGACCTGAGTTCAAATCCTGCCTCAGACTTATTAGCTGAGTGGCTTTGAACAACATGCCTCAGTTTCCTCATCTGTAAAATAGGGATAATAAGAGCATCTACCTCTCAGAATTGTTGTGAGGATCAAATGAAATAATAATTTTAAAGCACTTTGCAAACTTTAAAGCATTATATAAATTACAGGTGGTAGTAGTAATCGTAGTACTGATAGTTGTAGTAGTAGTAGTTGTAGTAGTGGTGGTGGTGGTAGTGGTTGTGGTGGTGGTGGTGGTGGTGTAGTGTAGTAGTAGCAGCAGCTGCTGTTGTTCTTGTCGTAGTACTGAGAGAGAGAGAGAGAGAGAGAGAGAGAGAGAGAGAGAGAGAGAGAGAGAAAGAGAGAGAGAGAGTGAGAATAGGGGACCAAGAATGGAATATGCCCCCAGAATCAAATTATGAGGCTGGATGTTCTAGACTCAAAGTGACAGGTAGTTATTTAAAAGCAAAAGTAAAAAAATGCCAATGTGCTTTGATATGCTTATAGGAAGGGAGGCTGAAGGAGTATGAGTATTCAAAATAAAAATTTTTAATGTGTGAAAAAGAAATGAAGTGATATAAAAACAAAAAGCTATAAATAAGAAGAAAACATACCCTTAAGAAGGCTGATCTCATGCCACTTTCAAGTGGGAGGAGTTGACGGCGTCTCTGTGTGCACACATCCAGGGTATCTGTCTTTCACTGAACTGTATTCACATTTTTCCCCATAGCAAGCAGTGTCACACTGCCCAGAAGAAGAAGACCAATTGGCCCGAATCCAAAATGTCATCCAGGAACTTCCCCCACCACATTATAGGTAAGCATCCTTTATCATCATTGTCATTGTCATCATCATTTATATTAATTAAGCCATTAATTAAATATTAATAATCAGTAATAGTAAAATAATCAGAGATACAAACATCTCATAGGGAAGGCATGTAATCCATGTGCCTTCATTGCATTTCTATAGCAATTCAAAGTTTGCAAAGCACGTTATATGCATTATCTCATTTGAGCCGCAGAACAACCCTCTGAGAGTACTTTTAAATATTAGTATCCCCACTTTACAGATGAAGAAACTGAGTTCATGTCACATAGCAAACTTCAGAGGCAGGGTTTGAACCAAGGTTTCTGGAAGATATGTTCAATATTTTATGCATTATAACACCCTGCCCCAAAGTCTCTTAAACTCAGGTACAAAGTACATTGTGTTGGTACCAGGTCCTGCATGGCAGTGTATTTTTGATGATGAAACTGGCCTAACAAATATGCTCTAATATCACAACCTGCCAGGGTCATGGTGGGAGGGAAGCTTTTAACATGGGAAGATGGGGTTTGTAGAGGTTTGAGGTTCAGAGGGGTGAGATCAGAGTTTAGGTGTCAGGACAAACTGAAGGGAACAGAAATCTTGGTATGTAAACCAGTGCACCTGGTACCTGGAAGAAAATGGAGTTTGAAAATACTGGGAAGAACAGCTCAGTGTCTATAACATGCAAAAAGATAACAACACAGCCAGAGCTAGTCCTGGGACAGAGACTGTTTTCTGACTTGGTTCCTGATATTCTTTTCGGGACCCACAGCTGGGTGCTGCTCTAGGGAGTAGAAGGTGGTACTGTAGATGAATATTGAAGGAAACTAAGACTTCTAAGTGGTGTAAATGAGGAGGGATGTCATTCTAGGCCTGGGGGACAGCCAGGGCAAGAGCATAGAAATGGATGTGGAGTGTCCTATTTGAAAAACTGCAAGAAGGTTAATCTGGCTGGACTGCAGAGTTCATGGAGAGGAGTAATGTGTGGTCAGACCAGAAAAGTGCGCTGGGGCCAAGTTGTAAAGAGTTTTAAATGTCAAACACAAACATTTGTCTTTGATCCTAGAGGTAATAGGTGTCCTGCTGTGATTATTAAGTAGAGGAGACTATTAATCTTGAGGAAGAGAGGAACTGAAAAGAAAATAAATTAGGGAATTGGGCCCTTCTCCTTCACCAAACATTCAAATTTAACAAACATTTATTAAGTGCCTACTATGTGCGGCAAAACTCTATGAGCTAGGGCTCTGAGGATATAAAAATGGAAAAAAAATGACACAACTTCATCTCTCAAGTAATTTAAAATAATGACAAGAGTGACTATTCAAATAAAGTTTGCCAGAGCTTTACATAAATCATCTCATATGAATCTCACAACGCTGTAGTGGAGGCACAGGAAGCACACAAATCTGCTAGCAGAGATACACCATGTGCAGAAATGAAGGAGAATGCACCAGGAAACACAACTCAAGTTCTCTAGGAAAAAAAGGAGAGAGAAAAAAATTTTTTTCAGAGTGAGTTGAGTCTAGTACTTTGAGCCCTTTACTGGCTTTCCAATAAGGTAAACTTCTTACTATTGCCTTCAAAGTGCTCTAGTGGCTAATCCTCCCCAACCTGTTGGCTTTCACCTCTTCCAACCCCTCAGTCCACACCCAAACCTTCCTTCTTCCTGCCTCCAATGTCTTTTTCCTTCCTTCCTGAGACTGCTTAAACCACTCCCTAAATAGTCAGAGTAGCCTTTTTGTTCCCATCCACCTTGCCATGTTCTTCTTTCCTTTAGATCACTGCTCAAGGTCCAATCTGACAACAATCCAATCTAGTAAGCATTTATTAAGTGCCTACTAATTATAAAGGACTTCACTAAGCAAAGAGGATGCAAAGCAATATGGAAAATTATCCATACCTTTAAGAAATTTACATTCTGTTGAGTCTTTCTCCTTCTGGAAATTTTTGTCCATCTTAGCCTGACAACCAAGATTAGGATTTATGCTTTTCTTTTTGCACTCATAAACATTTCACATCTCCTTCTCTTAAAAGCGTTCCTTTTGGAAGCACAAGATCTGACCAGCCCCAACCCCTTTAATCGCATTGTTCAGAATGTATTGAGTTGCATCTTAGGTTGATTTTATGTTTGTCTTGCTGTTGACTTTGCGTATTTATAAAGGTCAAGAACCATAATGTGTTCCAGTTATGCACCCCAAGTGCATTACCTTTCTAACTCTTTCGGACTCAATACTTACAACAGAAACCCATGGGAAGGTCAGTGTTAGGGAACAAAACTAATAACTAATTATGAATGAGAGAGGTGCCCTCCCTATGTAACCCTTGAGTGTACAAGGGCATGATTAAACCCACAATTAAACCAAAACAGTGGAAAGGAACAAGAAAGTTTTTTAAAGCCCGACTTCAATAACACCCATAACACCATTTTTGTTGACACGTTAACTGATCTTGCCCTTGTCCCTCAATCATGGTTCCTGCTGCCCCATTTAGCCCTGCCACTGAAATCATCCACACCTACAGTTCATTCTTACAACTTATTCCCTTTATTTTAACATCCTTCTTTTACCTTTGCTCACCATTCTCCCTCACAGCTTCACACATATTTTCCCCTAGAATTTGTCCCTGACTATTTTGCATTAGGGCACAGCTAAGGTGTGACAGACCTTTTAGATTCGCAAAAGAATGGAGTGGTCCAACTCCCTCATTTTATTGATGTGACAAATGAAGCCCACAGATGCCAAGCAATGTCTTTTCAGGACCTGTGCCATCCTGCTTAGAGCAGAGAGTTACATTCAACATGCATTTATTCAATACTTAACATGTACAAAGCGATGTATTAGGTACTAGATACAATACAAAGGCAAGGCTTAATTAATACAGCGTCTGCTCTAAAGGAGCTTACATTCTCCTGGAAGACTGATTATTAATGATATCATGAGATCTTCCTGACATTTCTCCAACATTCCTGGATCAAGCATCCTCAGCTACCCCTTCAAATCTAAACTTTGAAATTATCTACAGATTACAGGGTTCACACAGTCATTGAAGTTTTTTACTTTATCAAAAAATGAACCATTACAGGACCTTGGAATACCTGATCAGGCACCTGACCCATATCGCCTCCTTCAGTAACAAGACCAACATGCACACCAGGAACCTTGCATTGGTGTGGGCACCAAATCTTCTCAGGTAACATCTTTACATTAACTCAAATTTTTAAAAACTGATCAATGAATTGGTGCAGGACAATCGACATGACCACACAAATGCAAATGAAAACAACTTTAAAAGTCTGCTGAACTCAGAGTAATTATCATGGCAAATACAGATCCTAGGAAATGGGTGAAATTCATTTCCCTCCTTCACTGGAATGTTGCACACCCAGTTGGATGGTACTTGATGGTACTTCATTTTGTTGGTTGGTTTTGCTTAAATGTTTTCCTTTGTTATAAGGGAGAGTTCAATGGCAGTGGGGGGCAGTGGGAGGCAGTGGGAATTGGGAAATGACCTTGCTATAGATAACTTAGGGGAGGGGGAATTAAAGGACCACCACTTCCCCCAAAAAGCAAACAGACAAGCGGTTAATGAGTTCATTGCATCCATTATGGGAAAATAAAAACAGGAGATCATATAAAGCTAAAACCCATTTTAAATTATCTTGTTTCAACTAACTAAATCAAGAGGAAATGATTAATAAGTCTTGGGGTCTCTGTGTGGTTTAAATTGATTTTGATGGCAAATCTCCTTCAACAGCTAATTTGGAAACATCTGGGACCATCTGGAGTTTTCTCATTATAACTACAGTAGAATATAGATAGACTCACGGGTCTTCTCTCAAGAAAAACTTTCTAGTCTTTGTGTGTGGATGACTGGCTATTCTCATCTTCATGAAGTCAATTTTAACTGGCCGAAACCCAGATAGTCTGCTTACTGAAGGAAAAAGACAGGCTCCTATTACTTAATGAATGATGACAAGCCCTTTAGAACAATAGAGGGAAAGGCTCTTTGAGGGGAAAAATATCCACTTCCTTGTTACTTACTTGTACAGACTGTTTTCTTTTTAAAAGCCCTCTGTGAATAGTTGGTTCTCAGTACCTACACCTAGTAATGGTAGTTACATAAAACATGTTTACTGTATAACAATTAGAATTAGCTGCCTGATTATCAATCAATATTCATTTATTAAGCATCTACTCTGTTCTAGGCTCTAGGGACACAGACAAAAATTAAAGTCATGACCCTCAATGACCTTACATTCTACTGGGGGAGACCACATGTTCATGCAGAATAAATACAAGATGGTTTTGGGAGAGAGTACACTAACATCTGGAAAGGCTTCATGTACAATAGGGGTTCTTCATATTTTCCTTGTAATATATCCCTTTGGCATTCTGGTGAAGACTTTTGACCACTTCTCAGAAAAAATGTTTTTAAATTAATAAAACAAAGGAAACAGCTTATATTGAAATATAATTATCAAAAACACCAAGTTCACAGACTCTAGATAAGTTCTTGACCTAAGCTTTGAAGGAAATAAGAGATTCTTAGACACACAAGTGAGATAGGGATGTGTTACAGGCATGTGGTATGTCTAGGTCAAAAGCTTGGAGGTGGGAGGAGTAGTGTCGTGTGAGGAACATCTTTACATTAACTCAAATTTTTAAAAACTGGTCAATGAATTGGTGCAGAACAAAATCAGCAGAAACAGGAGAATCAACATGATGACTACACAAATGGAAATGAAAAGTACTCTAAAAGTCTGCTGAACTCAGATTAATTATCAAGGCAACTAACAATCCTAGGAAATGTATGAAATTCCAATAGTTAATATTTATCCAATGGATAAATATTGGGTCAGTTTGTCAACCCTAGCTGTATCGCTATACAGGTTAAGAAATGTTAAAAAATTGAGGGATTTGGCTCATAGGTCCTTTCTGCTTAACTTTTTCTTTCCTGTCTCCTAATGCACTGCTATTCACAGTATATTTTCCCTTATGCCTTAGGTCTAAGGAAATTGAAGCTATTGGCTGTAATGGAGATGCGGCCTTTCTTGCCGTCCGAGTCCAGCAGGTGGTGATTGAGTTTATCTTGAATCACGTGGATCAAATTTTCAGCAGCTCATCCTGCTCCATAGAGAATGATGGTAATCATTTGTCCTGACATTTGTCACATGACCTTGCAGCCCATCCCAATCTTTCTTTGCTGTAGCAGTGTAAGGTAGAAACAAGTTGGTACAGGAATGGAATCCAAACCAGTATGTGTCTGTTCCATATGTGGCCCCTTGCCTTTAATATTTGTTGGGCCTTGCCGTGCATATGCCTGTGTCTGCTGGATGTATGTGCTGTGTCTTTGTAATTGATATTTGCCATGTTTTTGTCTTTTCTGTTGTTCACGGCTTACATCTATTGCATATGTGATGCGGTTAAGGACAACTGGATTCATGCAATTATTGTGGTCATAGTGATTTTTCTAAGCTATTTACAAGGTTGATTTAATGTTCAGGAACACTGAGCACATTCTTCTGTTCCAATGCTTAGCTGCATTTTTATTTCTTCATCTGCCTCTCAGAAGATGCTGTTGCCTTCTTCTGGATCACTTAAGTACAAGAGCTAATCAATTAACCAGTCAAAAGGTATTAGTGCCCACTGGGAGTTGGGTACTATACTGGGTGTTGGGGACACACAGCCAAAAATGAAACTTCCCCATCTCAAGGAGTTAACACTGGGGGAGACCAAAGGTATATACAACATATATAAGGACTAGAGCTGTGATGTCATTGGTCTAGGGATTTCCTAAATGATAAAACCTTCCATAGGTCACCACCTTCTCCGCTGCTTAGAACACTAAGGGTGACTTGCCAATAGTCATCTAGGTTGTATGTTTCACACTCACAGTTTCACATTTTCACAGTTAAGATTTGACCCCAGGCAGTGCTGGCTTCAAGGCCAGCTCCGTCCACTATACTGCACAGCCTCCCTATGTGCAAAATAAATGGAAGGGAATTTGGGGGAGAAGATGGGGCAATCAGGAAAAGCTTGATATAGACAAGTGGCATTTGAAGGAACGTAAGTGTTCTAAGAGGCTAAAATGAAGCAAGATCACATTCCAGGGATGGGAGACAGTCAATACAAAGGAATGGATATGGGATGTGGGATATCTCATAGGAAGATCAGTAAAAGGGTCAGTTTGACTAGACTGTGGAATGCAAAAGGGTGAAGATGATGGCCTAAGGCACCTTTTATTTCCCTCCCAGGCTTGGGAAAATATGGGTTCCGTGGTCTTAAGTGGAGCTGAACCTACAAGGAAGGGTTAAGTATTACAACTTCAGAAGTTAGAAAAATGGAAGAAGCTTCATGTGACATTGTAAAAGGAGGATAATAATTGCAACTACCTCCCAGGGCTTTTGTAAGGATCAAATGAAATAACATTTATAAAACATATTGTAAAGCTTTAAGCACTACATAAATGCTAGCTCTTGTTAGTAAAGACTTTTAGTGAAGCTGAGATTGATTTACATGCTAAAATACCAATTTATCCATTGGCATGATTAATCTCATACAGATGTAAAAAAAAATATAACTTCCTAGAAACCAAAATGTTTATGCTGGAAGAGCCCAATCTCTTCCCAGTAGGCAACCTTACTTGGGAAAACAAATTAATAACCAGAAGATTGCTTGGTGAATAAAGGCTCCAGGAAAGGGAATTATATGGCTTCCTGGGATATTTCCCATATCAGGTCGTGATGTTCTCATCAGTCACTGTTCTCCTGGGGATAATCTGCCTGGCAGATTGGCATACTGGGCACAGTGCCCTCTCTCCCTGCTGGGTGCTGGAAACACATGAACAATTCTTTTCGCTCCAAAGCTGCCTCCACGATGACTGTTAAGATCATAACTACTGTGAATTGTTGCTGTAAGGGTTTTCGCTGATTTCTCGGAGAAGTCAAGTCTAGAGCTGATTGGGACCTTCAGAGTTCTCGGTTTTGATATGGCTTAGTTGAGTCTCAAGTACAAGTACAACCTCCTCATTGTACAGATGAGGAAACTGAGGCCCACAGATATTAAGTGTTTCGCCAAAGGTCACATTGTTACTAAGCAGAAGAGCCAGGATTTGACCTAGTTTCATAACAAGATAATACCGGGGTTTTTATATCAATTTCACTTCAAATGAGTTGTTGCTGTGCAGTTGTGTCTGACTCTCCATATCCCCATTTGGAGTTGTCTTGGCAAAGACACTGGAGTGGTTTACTATTTCCTTGTCCAGCTCATTTGACAGGTAAGGAAACTGAGGCAAAAAGGGTCAAGTGACTTGTCCAAGATCACATAGCTAGAAAGTGTCTGAGGCCAGATTCGAACTTACAAAAATGAATCTTTTTGATTCTAAGCCAGTCACTTTGTCCACTGTGCCACCTAGCTGCCTGACTGTTACTCACTAAAGTGAGTCAATGTAATATCTTAATCTCCAATTTCTCTGTGAATGAGTGACTTCTGGGAAGTTGTTTTTTTTTTTGTGGAAAGGAAGGAAGGCACTCAGCATATGTACCAGGCACTGTGCTAAGTGCCTTACATATAGTTCATTTGATTCTTATAACAACCCTAGGAGGTAAGTGCTATCATTAACCCCATTATACAGTTAAGAAAACAGGTAAATAAAGGTTAAGTGACTTGCTCAGGGGCACATACCTAAAAGGTATCTGAGATCACATTTGAACTCGGGCCCTTCTGACTTCAGACACTCTACCCACCGTACCACCTAGCTGCCTATAAGACATACTACTGACCAATTATTAATCATAAAAGTTGTCCCTTAAATTTTTTGGTTTTCCTGTTAGTCTTTGCCTCAGTTTATTCCTTGTCCTAGATCTTTCAGGCTTAATTCAGTTCCTGTATCTCCTGTTAAAGTGCATCTCCCAAAAAGTACCTTTGCCCTTACAGAATCTTTGATCTGGAAAAAATTCCAAGTCCATCTAGTCTAACCTATATCTGGTCAAGAAGCCCCTTTGTATTCTTCCTAACAAGTGATTAACAAAGTCACAAATTATAAGAATACATATACCATGGACAAATGTTGGAGGAGAATTAAAGAAACTTAAAATATTAATCCTTCTTCCAATTTAATCAGTTTTGCAATTTATTGAGCAACTAAAGTCAAGAACTTCACTAAAAAATAGCCAGCATTTATAGAACTTAAAGGTTTGCAAAATGCTTTATAAATGCTATTTCATTTCATTTCATTCTTACAACAACCCTGGTAGGTAGGTGCTGTTATTATTCCTTTTTATGGATGAGATGAAGAAACTGAGGCACAGAGACATTAAGTGACTTGCATCTCATCACTTAGCACAGTGCCTGGCACATAGTAGGCAACTTAATAGATGTTTATTGATTGATTGACTTGTTTATTATCACATACCTAGTGAGTGTCTGAGGTAGGACTTAAAGTCAAGTCTTATGTACTCCAAGTCCAAGACTCTGTCTACTGTGCCACCCAGCTGCCTCACTTACACATAAGTGAGTTTTAAGAATCATATTAAAAAGTTTTCATATTCATTAACCAACAACTAAAATGATTCTTCTCCCTAGAATTATAGGATATACCAGTTTAGTATACAGACATAGCCATCATGGTATCTCCCTGATCAATATAATTTCACAATAAGATCAATGATATATTATAACCAAAATATTATTACTCAAGTAAAATTACTGTAACTTTGCAAATCATAACACTGTACACCCAATCACCCATTCATAACTTTATTCCTATGGAACTAACAGACCCCATTAATATCATTTCAGCTAATATTTTATGTTTGTGAAAAAAATAACAGTATTAGGAAGGGAATACTTTTATACAATTTCAACTTTCCAAGAAACTCTTTATCTGAAGCTTTGGATCTACTACTTCCTATGGAGAAGGTCATGCTATAATCAAGAATCAAGAATTTATTAAGCATTACTATATGCCAGGTCCTGAGCTAAACTTTGAGGATACAAATACAAAAGTGAGATTGTTTTTGCCTTTGAGGAATTCATATTATATGAGAATAGAATGTTCTATGTGGTGTGTCATGCTCTACATAGAGATGGTCATGTTATACATGCTATGAGTGGAGCTATCCATAGAGTGCTTTCTTAGTAGTTCACTGAAGGTATCACAGAGCCTCCTGGGTGTTCAAAAATACACACAGTAGTTCCCAAAGACTGAGAAAAGGTCAACCTGAGGCTTTTGTATTTATTAAAGAAAAAATACGACTCTGGAAACCAGTGACAATCAGTATCACCTTCCTTTCTAAGAAAAATTCCAGCATATCATAGAAGCACCTCATAGACACCTCGAATGTTTCTGAGTATTTTGTTTAAAGCAATATCTTTGTGAGTACATATATTTTTCCCCCATAGGATTATAGATCTGGAGCTAGAAGGGATCTCAAAGGCTGTCTAATCCAACCCTTCATTTTACAGATAAGGAAACTGAGACTAAAGTGATTGATTATGTGGTCACATGCTGTCATCACCTACTGCCCTTCTACACAAGAATAGTAAACTTGGGAGATCAGAGCAAATCAAAGCAGAAATACAGTTATGATGTTCATTGTTATTCCATTTTGAGGTTTTCTTGACAAAGGTAATGGAGTGGTTTGCCCTTTCCTTCTCCAGATCATTTTATAGATGAGGAACTGAGGCAAACAGGGTTAAATGACTTGTCTGGGATCACACAGACACTAAGTATCTGAGATTTGAACTCAGGAAGAGGAGTCTTCCTGACTGGAGACCTGACACTTTCTCCACGGCACTACCTACCTGCCCTAGAAATATGGTATATCAAGAATCTGTTCTCCAACTTTGAAGGAGAGAATAGCCTCCTAACTTCCTTCACCCGGGCTGTGCCCAAAAGTTTATCCTATAATCTGCTCTGCCCTGCTAATTTCAGAGGAGGGAGAAAAACCTCCTTAGTTAGTGACCCAGGAGCACTATCGTGGCAGCATAATAGTGCTTTAACGTTTGGAAAGTGCGTTACAAATATCTCATTTTATCCTCACAACATCCCTGGGAGGTAGAGTTATCATTTTACAGATGAGAAAACTGAGGCTAAGAGAGACTTAGTACTTTGATCACTATATAGCTAGTAAGTATTTGAGGTAATTCCTGACTCTAAATCTGGCACTTGGTCCATTATACCACCTACTTGCCTCACATAGTTAACACATGCATAGCAAGCTGGGTGGGGCATCTGGATGGCACTGTGGAGACAGCACTGGGCTTTGAATCAGGAAGACTCATTTTTCCAACCTTGGAGTCAGGAGGACCTGAGTTCAAATGCAGCCTCAGACACTAGCTGTGTGACCCTGGGGAAGTCATTTAATCCTGTTTGCCTCCATTTCCTTATCTGTAAAATGAACTACAGAAGGAAATGGCAAACCACGCCAATGTCTTTTCTAAGAAAACCCCAGAATGGAGTCATGAAGAGTTGAACGTGACTAAATAACAACAAATAAGAGGAATACCTCCATGAAGCTGGGCAATCAAATTCCCATTATGTTCCACCACCAAACAAAGGACCTAGTGGGTAGAAAGTCATTTTTACTCCTGTCTTCATTTCTCCCCTCAGCTCTACAACCCAGACAAGGGCAAGTCATTGTCAAAGAAAGTTATACTCTGCAATAATCTAGTTCTGGTGAGGACCTCTGAATAACCAGGAGAAAAACCAAGGGCCTGTTCTTCCAACCCCATGCTGATCCTTGGGATCTGGGCTTATACTCAACAACAAAGTTGCCAAGAGAGGGGCTGTAGGAAGTAGGGATGGTTTGATCTCAATCCTTAGGTTCTCCTCACAGCACTGACTTCCTCCTGTTTCTTTACAGAAAACAGGCCAATTATGAAAAGTCTGACTTTGCCTGCCCTCTCCCTCCCAATGAAGTTGGTGAGCCTTGAAGAAGCTCAGGCTCGGAGTCTGGCTACTAACCACCCCGCACGCAAGGAGAGGAGGGAGAATAGCCTGCCTGAGATTGTGCCGTCCACAGGAGCCCTCTTCCATACTGTCCTTGAGTTACCAGACAACAAGTAAGCTCGTATTTTTTTATCCTAAGCAGTTAAACATATTTCAAGGCTGGGAAATTTTAGGAGCAGGCTAGAGAAGCAAGGCATGGCTTTCCCACTTCTCTGCCAGGTGAGGAGGGCAATTAAACAAGATTATATTAAGCATCTATTGTGACTGACTGAGTGCTAAGCCCTATGCTAGATGCTGAGGATAGAAGTTTGAGGAATGAAAAGTATATACAAGCATAAAAAGAAAGTTAATAAATACAAAAAAAATAAATGCAGCTAAATACAAGGTAATTTAGAGGGAGGGCATCAGCAGTTGGGAGTAACAAGAAAGGCTTCATGCAGGAGGTGATACTTAAGTCAAGTCTTAAAGGAAAAGAGAGCCTTCATGAGGGAAAGGTAAGGAGGGAACGAGTTACAGGCAGGGGGAATGACCAGTGCAAAGTTTTGGAGTCAGGAGATAGAATATTGGGCGTGAGTTACAGAGAGAAGGCCAGATTAACTGGATCACAGAGTACTGTGTCCATAAAGGCTAGGAAGATGAGTTGGGGCCAGCTTTTGAATGACTTTAAAAGCTCAATAGATAAGTTTATATTTTATTTGAGAAGCAATAGAAAGGGATAGAGAGGACAAGCCAGGTCAGATTATATTATCACAATACCCTTATATTTTTTTTGAGAGGCAATAGGAAGCCTTTGGAGTTGACTGAGTAGGTCATGCTTAGATCTTTGTTTAAGGAAGATCACTGGAGCAGCTAGGTGGTACAATGGCTAGAACTCTGGCTTTGGAGTCAGGAGGACCTGAGTTCAAATCTGGCCTCAGATGCTTGACACTTACTAGCTGTGTGACCCTGGGCAAGTCATTTAATCCCAATTGTCTCACCAAAAAAGAAAAGAAAAAAGGAAAATCACTTTGGCAGCAGTGTGTAGGATGGAGCCTAGTAGGGGGAAATTTGAGGCAGGGAGACCAATTAGGAGCCTGTTGCACTAATCTAGACGAGTCAATCAACTAGCATTTATTAAGGTAACCATGTGAGTGTAAGAAAAGAGTCAAGGGCAAGAAATGTCATATTTTCTCCCAAGACAGACAAGGCAAGAGAAAAAGAAACAATTTCCAGAATTCTGGTACCAACCTCATCACTCCCTGCAGTTCTAGGAGAATTCTTCTGTCCCAGGAATTGTTTGATTTCTATAGGGTGGAGAACCCTCCTGGGTAGCTATGTATTTTTTCCCAGCTTATTACCACACCTGGGAGGCATTATTCACATAGTTATACAGCTATGTGAAATGTACTCAAACTCTGGCTGCCTGAAAGATGCTAGACCAGACCTATAGCACTGAGGATGATCTCTCTTGCTGCTCTGCCTCCCTCTATTGGCAATTTTGCTGTTTGTTTTTAGAAATATCCGATCTTTGTAACGTTTAAGGCCCATGTAAATGACTTGAAATCTTTAGAGAAAGTACTTTGTGCAAAAATAGACACATTGTCAGGGTCAGTTCCTACTTGGGCTGAATTCCCATGTTTCTCCAAATGAGTACAGCGCTTGGACTCTGCTCCCCCTGGTGGTTTCCTGCTTTACTGCACTTTCTTGGGGAGTATTGCCTCCTCCTCTCTTTCTCTAAAAGAAATAAAGATAAAGGTCATAAATTGAACTCTCTATATGGCTCTGATTGTCCATCCCCTACATTTGCAATAGCTATAGAGACCAATGGAAAGCAGAAATGGGCAATGTTTCTTTATCAAAAATCTGCTTTCAATTCGGGTTTGCAGTTAAATTTAAAGCATGTCTCCCCCAGCCCATGAAGTTGTCAAGGATCTTTCTTTCCCTTATTGATGTCATAGCAACAAGGACCATGAGGGCACCCAGTAGGTAGCCTAAGAAGTCTAGTTATTATTGGCTTGGAGACTCTTTCAAGGTTCTTCCTACATTTTCCATCTACTAGAGTTCTTTAGGGAGCTTCTCAACTAGCTCTATTCAATGTCTTTGGCACATGCCCCATCATCACTGCCACATCCCCACAAGAACCTTGGATTCCCTCTGCTGGAACTGCCTGAGGCTCTGGTTGGAAAGTTTTCACCTTATCTTGCCCAGATCCAGGTTTCCACTTCACTTCCTGGCCATTTCACTTTATACATTCTTCATTTATTCCATCATCTTCATGTCCTGTCTACTAGAACCATGGAACTTGGAACCATTCCCTACATAGGTGGTACAGTGGATATGGCACTGGGCCTAGAGTCAGAAAGACTTCAGTTCAAATTTGACTTCTACTTATTAGCCATGTGACTCTGGGCAAGTCACTTAACCTCTGTCTGCCTATTTCCTCAACCATAAAATGGGGATAATAATAGCACTTTCATCCCAGCATTGTTATGAGACTCAATAATTTTTACAGTTCTGTAATTTTATATGCAATAAATATCAATTTACATATTACAAATAATATTTGTAAATGATTATTCCTTTCCCTTCCTAGCATAACCTTCCATGCAAACCTTTGTTTGTCTATTAATTGACAGCCGCCGTCCTAGTTCAGGATTCCATCATCCCTCACCTGGACTATTTCATTGAGCCATCATCACCTACCCCTATGCCCATGAACTTTGTTTTGTTGTTATTGTTTCTAAATATTCTATTTATAACTTTTAGATAAATAGATAGCACCAGCCCTGGATTCAAGAGGACCTGAGTTCAAATCCGGCCTCAGACACATAACACTTATTAGCTGTGTGACTCTGGGCAAGTCACTTAACCCCATTGCCTAGCCAAAAAAAACCCAAACCCAAAATGAAATAGTCTGGGGGAAAGTTGATGGGCACTGAACTAGGATGGCGGCAAATCAACAAGTATGTATTAAGTAGGCACCATACCACAGACACCGTGATAAAAAGGAAATAATCCTTGCCCTCAGGGAGCTTACACGCTCTTAGACTGTGTTGAGGTTTGCATCATGTACTCATGGTAGAACCCCTGTCCACATAGTACCCAGCCCTTTCCCCTTCGGGTAGCATTTAAAATTTTTATTTATAAAAAAATTAGGTTTTCTTAATAGTTGTTTTTGTATCACCTTCATTTTTAAATATCCTCCTATCTCCCCTGCCCAGCAACCCATCCCTTGTAACAAATAATAGAAAAAGACAGGGGAAAACAAAGTGGATGAGCAAAACTAACCAAAATATAAACTGGGTCTGACAATATTTGTCATGTTCCATACTTACAGTGCCTCACCTGTACAGAAATGGGATGGAGAAATTTTTCTCATCTCTTCTTTGGATATGAGCTTATATACATCACTCTTTAGTATTTATAAATAAATTTTATTGATACCTGTTTGTACCACCTACATGTCCTGTCATTTCTCTCTTTCCTTCCCAGAGAATTATCCTTTATAAATTAAGTTAAATAAAAAGGAAGAAAAAAATTTAAATCCACAAAATTAACCAACATTGCAAAAAAGTTTTACATCCCATGCAGTATGTGTGTATAATCCAGTGACATAATATGTATACCTTTGGTCCCCCACTTTTGGAGCACATCTCCTATCAATAGTGCAATATTTCTATATAATCAGACTACCCCTTAGGAGTAATAGAAGTGATTCTTTTCCTTTGCCTATTCGAATCTGAGCTGGGACATTTGTTTTATGGCACTCCTTGACCATAGGGAAACATTGGGCTGAACTTGTTTTTTTCCAGAGAGTAAGTTCCTAATTGTCATGTTCATCTGTTGCTGAGGAAACATCATGCTTAAAAATGTAATTGCAAAGCTCTTTGTATAAGAGGAAAGTACCATCTAAATTTGTTATTGTTGTTCTGTTATCTTCGGTTGTGTCCAACTCTTTGTGACCCCATTTGGGGATTTCTTGGCAGAGATACTGGAGTAGTTTGCCATTTCTTTTTCCAGCTCATTTTACAGGTGAGGAGACTGAGGCAAACAGGGTTAAGTGACTTGCTCAGGGTAACGCAGTAAGTGTCTGATTTGGAATTTAAACTCATGAAGATGTCTTCCTGATTCCAAGCCCAGTGCTCTATCCACTGTGCCACCCAGCTGCCTACCATCTAAATAGTAAACAATAAAAATAATTATTGTTAATTTTTTTTAGAAGGAAACTCTCTAGTAAATCTAAGAAGTGGAAGTCAATATTTAACCTGGGACGTTCTGGCTCAGATTCAAAATCAAAGCTGAACCGGAATGGAAGTGTATTTGTGAGAGGACAGAGACTTTCTGGTAAGCATGCTTATTTTATGGACTGTATTCACTAGCTCAGCTCCTTTCCTTCTTTGGTTTGGGCATGCAGAACTCTCCAGCCCTGAAAGACCAAATGATCATGACCCTTAAATATAAGCATGTTGAACTTTTCCTTTTTTTTTCTTCAATTTTTTAAAAACATTTTTATTTAAAGTTTTGAGTTCCAAATTCTATCCCTCCTTTCCTCCCTGCCCTTCCGCCTCCTTGAGATGGTAAGCAATCAGATATAAGTTATACATGTGCAATCTTGTAAAACATTTCCATATTAGTCATTTTGTACAAGAAGAATGAAAAGGAAAAAAATGAAAGAAAGTGAAAAATAGCATGCTTCAGTCTGTATTCAAACAATAGCAGTTCTTTCTCTGGAGGTGGATAGTATACTTCATCATTAGTCCTTTGGAATTGTCGTGGATCATTGTATTGTTGAGAATACCTAAGTCATTTACAATTCTTCATCAAACAATATTGCTGTTATTGTTTTGTTCTGGTTTTGTTCACTTCACTCTTCATCAGTTCATATATGTCTTTCCATGATTCCTGAGATCCTCCTGCTTGTCATTTCTCATAGCACAATAATATTCCATTACAATCATATAACACGGCTTGTTTAGCCATTCCCCAATTTAAGGGTATTCCTTCAATTTCCAATTCTTAGCCACCACAAAAACAGCTGCTATAAATATTTTGTATAAATAGGTCTTTTCCCCTTTTTTCAGATGTCTTTGGGATATAGAGTTAGCAGTGGTATTGCTAAATCAAAGGTGTATGCACAGTTTTATAGCTGGTTGGATCAGTTCACAACTCCACCAACAGTGCGTTAGTGTCCCAATTTTCTCATATACCCTCCAACATCCAACATTTTCCTTTTTTTGTCATATTAGCCAATCTGATAGATGTGAAGTGTTGAGGCGTGAGTTGTTTTAATTTGCATTTCTCTGATATAGTGATGTAGAGCATTTTTTCATATGACTATAAATTGCTTTGATTTATTTGTCTGAAAACTGCTTGCTCATACCCTTTGACTATTTATCAATTGGGGAATGACTTGTATTTTTACAAATTTGACTCCATTCTCTATGTTGAAAAATGAGGCCTTTTTCAGAGACACTTGTCACAAAAAATTATTTTCCCAGTTTTCTGCTTTTCCTATAATTTTGCTTGCATAGGTTTTGTTTGTGCAAAATTTTTAAATTTTATATAATCAAAATTATCTATTTTATACTTTGTAATGCTCTCTATATCTTCTTTGGTGCTAAATTCTTCCCTTATCCATAAATGCGACAGATAAACTATTCCATGCTCTCTTAATTTGGTTATGGCATCACCCTTTATGTACAAATCATATACCCATTTTGACCTGATCTTGGTATGTGGTGTGAGATGTTGGTCTATACTTAGTTTCTGCCATACTGTTTTCCAGTTTTCTCAGCAGTTTTTGTCAAATAATGGGTTTTGTTCCAAAAGTTTGGATCTTTGGTTTTATCATATACTAGATTACTACAGTCATTTACTATAATGTAACTTATACTTAATCTATTCCATGGATCCACCACTCTATATCTTAGCCAGTACCAGATTGTTTTGATAATTACCACTTTATGATACTAGTTCTCAAATAGGACTAGACAACCTTCTTTCACATTTTTTTTTCATGGATTCCCTTGATATTCTTGAATTTTTGTTCTTCCAGATGGATTTTGTTATTACTTTTTCTTCTATAAAGTAAATAGATTAATTTAGGTAGGATTGTTATTTTTAATTATATTGTCTCGGCCTACTCATGAACAATTAATATTTTTTCAATTATTTAGATCTGACTTTATTTGTGTGAAAAGTATTTTATAGTTGTATTCATATAGTTCCTGGGTTTGTCTTGGCAGGTAGAGTCCCAGGTATTTTATATTGTCTACAGTTATTTTAAATGGAATTTCTCTTTCTATCTTTTGCTGCTGGACTTTGTTGGTAATGTATACAAATGCTGATGATTTATATGGGTTTATTTTGTATCCTGCAACTTTACTAAAGTTGTTAATAATTTCAAGTAGTTTTCTAATTGATTCTCTAGGATTTTCTAAGTATAACAATATATCATCTGTAAAGAGAGATAGTTTTGTTTCTTCATTGCTTATTCTAATTCCTTTCTTTTTCTTTTCTACACTATATATATAAGTATATATACCATATATAAATATATTAATAGTATATTTTCTATACTATATATATATATAATATATATATTCCTATATTAAACATTTCTAGTACAATATTAAATAATAGAGGTGATAATGGGCATCCTTGCTTCATCCCTGGTTGTATTAGGAAGGCTTCTAGCTTATCCTCATTATAGATTATGCTTGCCAAGGGTTTTAAATAAATATTAGTTATATCTGCCTTTTCTCTATTTTATTGATGTAAGCAATTAGAGTTATAAATTTCCAATTATAAAGTACCGCCTTGATGCATCCCATAAATTTTGTTAAGTTATCTCATTGTTGTGATTTTCTTTAATGAAATTATCTACTATTTTTATGATTTGTTCTTTGACCCACTTATTTTTGACGATTAGATTATTTAATTTCCCATTAATTTTTAATTTCTCTTTCCATTGTTCATTATTGAATGTAACTTTTATTGCATTATGATCTCAAAAGGATGGATTTAGTATTTCTGCTTTTCTGCATTTGGTTGTGAAGTTTTTATGTTCTAATACATGGTCAATTTTTGTGTGGGTACCATGTACTGCTAAGAAAAAGGTATATTATTTTCTGTCCCCATTTAGTTTTCTTCAGAGGTCTATCACATCTAACATTTGCAGAATTTTACTCACCTCCTTAACTTCTTTCTTGTTTATTTTCTGGTTAGATTTATCTAGTCCTGAGAGGGGAAATTTGAGGTCCTCCACTAGTATAGTTTTATCATCTATTTCCTCCTGTAACTTGTTCAACTTCTCCTTCAAGAATTTAGATGCTATACCATTTGGTGTATACGTTTAGTATTGATATGACTTCACTGTCTACAGTACCTTTCAGCAAGATATCATTTCCTTCTTCAACTCTTTTAATTAGCTCCATTTTTCGTTTTGCTTTGTCTGAGATCATGTTTGCTCCCCCATTTTTCTTTGTTTTAGTTGAAGCATAATAAATTCTGCTCCAGCACCTTACCTTTACTCTGTGTGTATCTCTCTTCTTGAAATGTGTTTCTTATAAACAACATACTGTAGGATTCTGCTTTTTAATCCGTTCTGCTATCCACTTCTGTTTTATGGATGAGTTCATCTCATTCACATTTATAGTTATGATAACTGTGTATTTCCCTCCATGCTATTTTTTCCTTATTTACCTTCTTCACTCTCTAATCCCCCTCTCACTCTTTCCCTCATCAAAAGTGTTTTACTTCTGATCACCGCCTTCCCCAATGTACTGTCTCTTTTTTTCTGCCCCGCCCCCTTCTAATAATCCCATCCCTTTTTACTTCCTTATAGGGTAAGACAGATTTTTGTATCCAACTGGACGTTGAGCCAATTGGCTCTTTGAGCCAATTTTGATGAGAGTAAGGTTTAAACTTTGCCCACCATCCCTCATCTTCCCCTCCACTATAATAGCTCTTTCATGCCTCTTTTATGTGGCATAATTTACCCCATTCCATCCCCCCCTTCCTTCTTCTTCCAGTATAATTTTCTTTCTTACCCCTTTGTTTTGTTTTTGGGAGTATTATCTCATCAAAGTCACCTTACATCCACACCCTCTGTCTATATATACTCCTAATTGCTCTTATAGTAATAAAATTCTTAAGAGTTACAAATATTATTCACTATATAGAAATATAAACAGTTTAACCTTGTTGTTGTTGTTTGCTCATTTTTCTGTCTCTTTTGTCACTTGGTATTTTTATATTAAAGTTGGGCTCTGGTCCTGCATTGTCCCTAACTTTTTGTGCTGGGGCTCAGGATCTTAACGGCTGGCTTTCACTGGGCTTCAAGGCTTAGCTAATTGCTTTCACTGGAGGGTAGGCTTCCCTTCTGGCTTGTACTGGGGGGATGCGGCCTTCCTGTCATCCTCCCGGATGAAGAGGTTTGCTGCAGGCCTGTGGGGCCTTACTACAGGGTTGCTATGGTAATAGAGTGCTTCTGGTGGCTGGCCCTGGAGGAAAGAACTTTCTTCACTCTTCATCACTTCATGCAAATCTTCCCATCTTTCCTTTTCATATTTGTCTATTTGTGGCATAACTATTTCTTCACATTCTTATTCAATTTAATTAGCCATTCACCATTCATTTATAGTTGAGTATCCAATCTATTTTGAAAAGAAAAGTACACACAGATGTGGAGAATTTAAGAAATACTTTAACACAAGCCCTGGGCAAATGTATGGCAAGGATTTACCAAAAAAAAAAAAAGGACCATGGGCTAGAGTGTAATCCCACATAGCTAAATCTGACAATAAAGCAGTCTATTAGAAGGACCTGTCTCCCATGGAATGAGAAGAGAGTCCAACCAAAGAGAACAGGAAACTGTCAGGCACAAACTAGAAATTAATTGGGGGGAAATAATTCAGGGAGCAATTAAAAGGCAATCCATCGCAATAATGTGTGAAGATATATCCAGTGGAGGAAGCTAGCTAAGAAATCAGTGAGGCCACTTGATGGTCCACAGAGACCAGTTCACTCTGAAAGAAGAAAGCTAAGAAATAGCTTTTTTTTTTTAATTAAGAAAGATTTTCAAACCTAAAGCAATTTTAATTAATGGTAAATGCCCTGGATATTCTAATTTAACCTAGAACCAAGACACTGTGAAACAGTAAGAAGAAGAACACTGGATTTGGAGTCTCCATTTAAATCCTGGCTCTGTCTCTTACTACCAGTGTGACCTTGGCCAATTCACTTACCTCTTTGAATCTTAATTTCCTTATCTGTAAAACAAAGGGGTTGAATTACATCACCTCTAAAGTCCATTCCAGCTCTGTGATCTTAAGATCAATATACTTATATAAATAAATGACTGGGGATCAGAAGGATTGAATGAATTTTAATAAAACTCAAGGGTGAAGTTGTGGAATTGCCCAAGATTTATAACCATCATTAGAAGCAGCCACTCAGCCACTTGGCAGAGGATGTGATAGCTGCCAAAGTGAGGGCCATGCATAAAAATGACTTCTAGAAAGACCTGAGGAGTTGTAAACCAGGGTGAATTTTGCTTCCATAATAGTAATGGATTGATATTAAGCCATAAAATTGAGAAATACTTAAACATGATCTGTTAAAGGAAAGGCAGCAGTTTTTCTGAGTAACAATCATACTAGACTAATCTGTTTATTGAAATTCATAGGATCATAGAGATGTTAAGTGACTTGACCAATTTCATGCATTTAGTAAGCATCAGAGATAGAATTTGAACTACAGATTACAATAATTAATGATGCATAGACAGGTAGGCATAGTGGTACATCCTTGTAATTCCTGCTACTGAGGATGCTGAAGCTGGTAGATTACTTGAGTTTAGGACTTCTGAGCTAGAATAGGACAAAAGCCAATCAGGAGCTTGTACTAAGTCTACCTTAAACATGGTGATCCCATGCAAGTGAAGGGCTAAAGGTTCTGTATTGATCAACAGTGGAATTTGGCTGGTGAATGGCCACTGTACTCTGGCTTGGATGAGATACAGAGTATGACCCAGTCTGTCTCTCTCTCTGTCTCTCTCTCTGTCTCTCTCTCTCTCTCTCTCTCTCTCTCTCTGTCTCTCTGTCTCTCTCTCTCTCTCTCTCTCACACACACACACACACACACACACACACACCTTACACTAATGCATAGACCTATGCAGATAGTTATCTGTGAGTTTTCCCTGAGATTAGATCTTAAAATGATATTATTTAAAACTTTTACAAATTATCTGGAAAACGGAATTCAGTAAAATATTCACTTATAAGCTCTTCTGGATACTGAAATGTCAAAACAAGAGAACTGCAGGAAAATCCCTCAAGGCTATGTGACTAGTCAGAAAAGTATGCTTCACTCTGGCTCCATATAGGGTATCATGCACTGTTTTTTCATGGATCTAACCATTCTTTCTCATCTGGGAGATGTCTTTTTTTTTTTAAGAAATAGTATTTATTTATTTCCTGGTTCTGTTCATTTCACTCAGTGTCAGAGCATACAAGTCTTTTCAGGTTTTTCTGAAATCCTCCTGCTCATCATTTCTTATAGCACAATAGTATTCCATTACATTCATATACCACAACTTGTTCAGCCATTCCCCAATTGATGGGCATCCCCTCAATTTCCAATTCTTTGCCACCACAAAAAGAACTACTATAAATATTTTTTATAAGTAGGTCCTTTTCCTCTTTTTAGATCTCTTTGGGGTATAGCCCTAGTAGTGTAGTGGTATTGCTGCATCAAAGAGTATGCACAGTTTTATACATACATATGTTTATAAATAGAAGATTCTCATAAACATTGCATAGGGATGTGAAAATAGAAATATGCATTGGTATTTGCTGATTTGTTCTCAGGCATGTCTTTGTTGTAATAATACTATTTAAGATCTTTTCAATTCTTTCAAGATCTTCCTTCTCTCTGGCACGTCTTGAAAATTAATCTTTAAATAATTTTAAATCTGTATTGCCTCCATTATCAGTTTTTACATGTGTGAATTTGGCAATATCCATCCCTCTGTTCCATATTCCTCAAAATTAAGTGCAGTTTCCACTTCCTCTTCTAGAGTCTATATGATAGATTCTGCTTGTAATGGTTTGATTATAGCAATGAGGAAAATAGATAATGCTAGAGAGGTTGGCAAATTTGTTTTATCTATTTGATGAATAGATTTCATCTCTTTGTTTCATCTAGTTGACATCTATTTGATGTCCTCCTTCCAAGCCATCTACAGATGCCTTCAAGACGATTTGGCTCAGCTGGATCTCAAGCTGTCTAGGAGATAAAAGATTTGTTTCACTTGTATCCTGGAAAATGAGAGATTTATAAAAACTAATTTGTTGTCTTTGTCTCATTTAGTCTTCAAAAGTTTGCCCTTATCACCCTTCCCTTTTTTTTTTAACATTATGAGATAATTGGACCTCTAAAAACTTAAGTAGTCATGTTTTCTGATGGCACATTTACATGTATGATGTTAAGATATTTTAAAATATAAGCATATTCTATCTGCTGTTTATTATGGTGAGAAGTACATTGGACCAGAAATCTGAAGACATGGGCTCTACTCCCTGTCCCATCAGTTATTATTAGCTGTGTGACCTTAAGAAAGTCATTTAACTTCTTTGTTCTGAGATTCTATAAAATGGGAATAATAAAGTCTGGAATACCTATGTCAGGGAGTTTTTTTGGAAATAATATTTCTAGAGCACTTAGTTAAAAAGTGCTCCATATACATCAACTATAATAATAATAATGTTATATATTATTGTTATTATTATTACCTCATGATGGGTTTGAGGTTCAAGTGCAATGATGTATGCAAGTACACTTTGAAAACTGAAATGCTATATCAGGCAAGGTCAGTATGAAAGTGGCAGTGACAGACAGTGGTGGTAGTAATTGTTTAAACTGTTCTAAGATCTTACATCCATACCATTTCAGTGCTATTAATTGTTTAAAGAGAGGTTCCATGTGGAAAGAATGCATATGCGGTCAAATTCGGCAAATACTGACTAGTTTTGTTGAATTGCCCTTTTAAAAAATTCCTTCTTTTTAAATTTTTTGCTTAAAAGGCCATGGGATCATAAATCTTGTGCTAGATGGAACCTTAAAGCAGCAGTTCTCAAAGTGTAATCCAGGCAGCCCCACCCTTTCAGGGGGGTTCTTGAGGTCAAAATTATTTTTGTAATAATACCATGACATTTTCATTCCTAATATGGTGAATGTTGAGAGATATAGTCCACATAAACAAAAGCTCTTTGTGAAATCCTCAATAACTTTTAAGAGTGTGAAGGGTCCTAAGTCCAAAAAGTTTAAAAACCTCTGCCTTAGAGAGGGGGCCTTCTGGGTAAAGGAGGAGGGGGAAAACATTTGCAAATTATGAAAAAACAAAAGATATCAATACAAGAAAAAAAATAAAAAATAAGAAAAACAAACTTTGGCTATTTGGAATCCTTGTGGGATGGGCCTTTCAGATATCTAAGGATTCATCTCTTTAAGCACCAAAATTTATTTTAATTAATTCAAATGGAAAATGTTCGAAAACAGATTACTTATTTCCATGGTTCAGCAGCATATTATCTTTTTTTTGTGAATTTGTGTCATTATTATGAATGTCAATTTGTGGGTTATGCTTTTAAAACAAAGATTGCCTCAGGATATGCTGAAGTATTTGGGACAAATTGATTCAGGCCTAAGGTGACTTTTAGTTATCTAAAACAGTTTTTCTGCAGCTTTATTGTCAGCTGTCATTTCTCATTGTTGTCTCTGAGTTTACCTAACAAAGCCCACTCCCCACCCCTAAAATTTAATTCCTGTAGGTTTGGAGACCACATCACCAATCTTTGTAGGAATGCGTGTAAATAAGAGTAAGCAGTGACAACCTGACAACATCTTCTACAAATAAGATGTGTGAACTTTAACAATGGAGGAATAATTAATAAATAGAAGAGAGGCTCCATAGAGAAACATCAATAATTGGCCAACAATTAAGTTTTCTGGGCTGTTAAATTTTCAATACTACATGGAAAAGTCTCGTGAAATTTTTTTTTTACTACACATTTAAAATCTGATTATTTCTTCCAGGATGCTATTTCTTCAATGATATTGTCACATTTTTTAATAACTGAGGTTTGTTTGTTTTTTAGTAGAAAAAGCTACCATCCGACCTGCCAAAAGCATGGACTCTCTCTGTTCTCTGCCAGTAGAAGGTGAGACCTAATAATTGATATCTGAACCAGCTGTTTTGAGCTGTTGGTTGCTGGCGCTCATACATTTGCAAGCCTCTCTTTCTTGCCCAATCAGATCTGCTCTTACTCTATTCTTAGTGTAAAGGGGCAGTATAGTGATGGTCAATCTTAGTCCTGAGGCCCACAGAGCAGCAGCCTGCCCTTTCAGAGGAGCTCTGTGACATGTCTCTTAAGAACTAAGGTCATTAAGGCTAACATAGCTGGAGGGCAATGATCTCCATCATGCATGAGCTTGGAGAGATCCTAATATGAGTGGCATGGAAAAAGTAACCCTCTTGGGTCATGGACTTCAGCCACAGAATGAGACACAGAGTTTCAGATATGAATAAAATGTTGATCTGTTTAATTTTATTCTACTTATTGGTTATGGGGTTGAGGTGGGGAACCTTTAGGGGAGGAAAGGAATGGGAATTGGTAATGGATAATGAGAAGCAAAAAAAAAGTGTATATTCATTCATCTACGGATTTATTAATTCAATAATTTTTTTGAAGTATCTGCTGTCTGGAGAGCACTACATTAGGCTCTATGTACAAAGTTTAAACGAGACACAGCCCATATGCTGATGGATCTTAGAATCTAATCTGGGGCAATGACAAATTATAACACATTTTATTACCTGACAAGTGATACAGAGATTTGAAAAATAGAATGCTTTGTAACTTCTGAGAGGCAAGTTTGTTAGTGACTAGTGGAGAATAAGGATCAGGGAAGGCTTCGCAAAGAAGGCTTTAAAGGATGGGCAGGAATTCAGGCAAATAGGGAAAGTTATAGTTACAAAGCATTCAATGCCATTTCATTTTTGCTCTATGTCCATTATTGTAGTCGTTAGATATATTGTTAATCATGTTTCTACACTTTTCCTTTTAATCAGTTTAAGTCTTCCTATGCTTTTCTGAATTCTTCTATGTCCTTATTAAACTTCCTTTAAGGAAGATTAAAGAAGATAATTCCTTTGATTTTTTTCTTATTAATTTTAATTAATTTACTGTTAATCATTTTAATATTAACCAGTTTTAATATCACCTAGCTTTTATGAAGGAATATTAACTGGGAAGGCATAACAAGAACAGAAATACAAAAACAGAATATAATCCTTTTGAATAAATTTTTTTTAAAAAGAAAAAAATCAGTTGGGAATATTCAGTGACAGCTTTTAGGGCTAGCACTTATCTTTACACTCAGCTTTCTAGACTGTGTTTGAAAAGCCGCTGGGGCCTCTCCATTTCAGCTTTCCGAGTTTTATGCTTCAAAATTCCCTGTAGCCGCAACCAGAGCTGGCAGACCACCTCCCTTATGGGGATCTTTTCCCTTTCTGGTCATTGAGCCAGTCAAGTCCCATCTCTCATTTCTCTGCCCCCTCCCTGTCTGTGTAATCCAAGCAAATTTCTAGTTGAAAGAAGGAAACAAATCTGGCATCCCGGTTCACCTCTTGAAACCTCAAACCCCCTGACCCTTTCTCTCTCTCCATGAATTTTTTGGTAGCTCCAAATCTGTGACTTCATTTTTGCGGGGAACTCCCAGTGAAGCCCCTCTACCAATGCAGATCATGGAAGGGACATCAGAGATGACCTATTTCAGCTTCTTTTTAGAGAGGTTAAGTGATTTGCCCAATGTCATCGCCAGAGGCAGTATCTGAACTCACATCCTCTTACCCCCATAATTAGTCCTATTTTCCCAATAATTTCTGCCCTGCAACTTACATTCTTAGAGAGTTGCCTGGGACTCTGAGGAGTTACACGATTTTTACCAGGCTCACAGCCTGTGAATATTGGTGGCAGAATTGGAACCTGGGTTTTGTTGACTTCCCTGTGGCCCGAAGGCTGCCTCATCAATCATAGGAGGCTTTTGTATTCTCTTCTGGTTTTACTGTTTTCTTGGATAAGAAATCACTCACTTTCTTGTATCCTTCCCACCCCCTACCCCCCCAACCCCATCCCCTGTGCCATGCCTCTAACAGCTCTTACTTTAAAAAAGACCATAATTTAAGAATTCCTTGAAGGACCAAGTAAATTTTTGCATCAACTGACACCTCAGGTCTTTTCTGGTGTTAAAGCACAGCCCTCCTCAGCTTGTATCCACTACCAACCTTAACAGCTGGCTTCTTCTAAAACCCCTCTTAGAGCTGAAAATGGCATCATCCCTTATGACCTTGCCCAGATAAGGAAACTGAATGGTCATCAGCCAGCATTTGACTGACTTGGCTGGTACTTTATCATCAAAGCTGGTTGCTTCTTCCTGCTATGCTACAGCTGTTTTACTGTTGTCATTTTTTTTCCCTCTTTTAATTCGGGTAAACCCTGTTACATGACAACATCCATCTCAGAATGCTGTTGTCAGGCCATATGTGTTTTTTCCCTTAAAGCTTGAATGGGTGTTTATGTGCAGGTAGGTATGTCTCATTGTATTGTGCCTGAATAATGGGCATGCATTTATCTGCATGAACAGGAACTTTTGTGTGCTTTTGGTGTCACAAAACTCTCCCTGCGTTTGCTCTGACTTCCCTAGGGAAGGAAGCCAAAGGACATTTCAATCGGACTGTCACCACTGGAGGATTTTTTATCCCAGCGATGAAACTGCAGACGACCAGTACTGGCAGCTCTTGTGACCTTAGCAAGCAAGAGGGCGAATGGGGCCAGGATGGAGGCCCAGCGGGAGCTGAGGGGGGCTCTGTTATGGGTGGCAAGGCTCCTCAGGCCCGCCCACCACCAGAGCAGCTGAAGGTGTTTCGAGCCGTGGAGGATCCAGAAAATGACCAGGCGTCCCCAAAGATGCTTGCCATGTTCTACACTTCAAATGATAGCTCCAGCAAATCAGTCTTCACCAGCAGCCTCTTCCAGATGGAATCCTCCCCTCGTCACCAGCGGAAGGCCCTCAACATCTCAGAGCCATTTGCGGTCTCAGTACCCCTTCGGGTATCAGCAGTTATCAGTACCAACAGCACCCCTTGCAGAACACCTCCTAAGGAAATGCAGTCACTCTCTAGCCTAGAAGAGTCTTCTTTCCAAGGGGCTGAGGGTGGGGGTTGGCCTGGGTTTGAGGAGGAGAAGACACCTGTGGCTGATGCTTCTGCAGGTAAAATTTCATGGAAGGTATCTCTTGATTTTGATAACTATTCTCTTCTATTTCTTTTCTTTTTTTTTTTTTAAAGGCAATTGGGGTTAAGTGACTTGCCTGGGGTCACACAGCTAGTAAGTGTCAAGTGTTTAGTCTGAGGCCAGATTTGAACTCAGGTCCTCCTGACTTCAGGGCCAGTGCTCTATCCACTGCGCCACCTAGCTGACCCCTATTCTCTTCTATTTCCAATGTGATTCTTAAAAGTGGCCTGATTCCTTTTATCTTAGTTGGCATTGAGGAAGGGAGAACAGTCACCTTTTTAGAAAGCCCCTATTCCTCCAGGACTGCTTCCAAGTCAGCTGTAGTCATACAGGGACAAGAACACCTTAGCCACATCAGACACATCTGGGACAGCCCCACTTGGACAACAGTAGCAAGGACAGGAATAGCAACTATTAGGTGATGCTTGTTTCCTAGAAACCTTGGGAGACAGATTCTTCAGGGATTAAAGCATTTACTCTTTCCTGTTTTGCAAACCAGATTATACATTTCTGGGCTCATTACAGGAAGTATCTTAAACTCAAAATTTCACTTTTCATGGAAGGCAATGGCCATACCTGAAAGTACTTGCAAAGGGAAAATTATTAGATTATATTGCCAAGGATAGGGACTGGATCTGGAACTGCATTGGTATTGAGAAATCCCAGGTGAGGAAACTACCCTTCCCAATGCACAGCAGGACCTTGTTTGCAACTTCTTATCCTAAAGAGTTGCCTAAGCCCTGAGAAGTTAAGAGATTTAAATGCCCAGGATCACACAGCCTCTTGATTTTTGCCTTGACAAATTGCTTTATTGATTTCTAGTCTTAAGAAAGTGATGGAGAAAATGTGAACAATGCAGATTAAACTTGAAAGTATACTCTGTGTGTGTATGTCTGTGTGTGTGTGTGTGTGTGTGTGTGTGTGTAAGAGCCAACTGTTAAACACTGACTGTCGCACCCCCATAGGTAGTACATTTATTATTTGTCATCCCCGTTTTGCTGTGTGATCTGAATCCAGTCTTCCTGGCTTTCAGGCTAGCTTACTAGCTACTATGTCACTCAAGGACTCAAGCTTAAAATTCTCGCTCATCTTAGTTTTCATATGTGAGAGAAGGATGCAGAATTCTGTAAAAACTGAATGGAAAGGTATCATTGAGTTACTGAGCATGAACATTAAAACTGGTGATATTAAGAGCTCCCAAAATTTCTCCTTCACAATCAATGTTATTATAACAACAATGGGGTGGTTGGACTAGAAATCAAGGGTGGGGAACCTGTGGCCTCGAGGCCTCAGGGCTAGATAGTCTCTAAGGACACTTTTAGATTTTTAACACTTTGATTAGATTGATTCAAGGCTTCTTCCTGTATATAATCTATAGAATCCATGGAGAAAGGGTGACATTCCTCTACCATAGAGTTCCCAGCATGAGAACTATGGAGGCCATATGGCTTTAGGCAAATCCAATATTAATAATCTGGTTGTTAAATATTTATCAGTACACCCCAGAAGGGAGTGCAAGTATTATCATCTCTATTTTGCAAATGAGGAAAACGATGAATGAAAAGATTTAGTAATTGCCCATGTAGCTAGTGACCATTTGAGCCCCTGTCCATTATAAATAGCTTTATCTTGTTACAATTTGATTAAACCAGACCTCTGCTGTAATCCAAACCCTTATAATTAAAAAAAAAAAGCATTCATTAAGTGCCTGCTGTCTTCCAGGCACTGTGCTGAGTGCTATGCACAAACAAAAAATGAAATGGTCCCTGACTTCAGGGAGCTTACAGTCTACTGGAGGGATAAGAACATGTTCATAGGTACAGAGTGAGGACAGGCACATACAGGTAGAAACAGAATGACTAAATTCCTGAGTCCAGTACCTAACTTCCCCCCCCCCCAATTTTTTTTCCCAACCCCTGTGTATTTTGGCTGGTATATTCAAAGGTGCTGGGGGGGGGGGAGTGGTTATTGACCTTGGATTGTTGTAATTTTTTAAAAAAAATATTCTAGCTCTTTTTGTCTACCTTAACATAAAACCACATAGCCCTTAGCTGCCTAGGGTCATTCTGAATTGCCTCTCGTTCTGAAGAGAGCCAATTTCCTGCATTGAAGTCATATGTGCAGTTTCAGTTCCTAGTATCAAAATAAGACTGGGACATCTCCTTGTATCTCATGTGTGTGTATTCCCCAGGTGGTTTTTATGTTATTAACAACCCCTGCAGTTTATATATCTCATAATCTTAGGCAAGCATAGCTATATTTCTGCTGCTTAAGGTCTAAAACTAGACTAACATCCATACCTCTCTTCTGTTTACTGAGAATAGTAGTTTTACATGCAAGTTTTCTGAACACATTTATTTCATAAAATGAGGTTCCTGAGTATCTTGGAATATTTTCCTTGGTTCATTCATGAGGAACATCTTTTTGCCCCTTTTGCCTGAGTTATGAGTTCTCCAAAGCTAGGAAGCCACCATGGTGAAAAGCTGTAGGAATTAGTAAATTAGTCAGTAGACAAAATATATTCTTGGATTGTTGTCTTATGCAAGGCACTGTGTAAGACCACTCTAGGAGAAAAGTCCCTGTCACTGCCTTAATGTCTCTAGCATTACTGAATGTTCTGAGAGTCGGTCTTAAGAAGACAGACGGGCAGAGAATGACTATTCAACTCTAGGTAGTTTAAGGGGACCACAAATTGGGCACAAGAAAGAAAGTGAAATCATTGGAGACAACTCTCGATTCTTGTAGATCAGAGAGCTATTCTCCCAGCAATCCCTGCTCCATGAGCTTTTTTAGGAAAGAAACCAAGTGATTTAATCACCGAGTTAACTAATCATTCATTTCTATTTCTACCACAGCTTCTGCATCTCAGAAATTAAGAACCATAAAGTCTGAATCTCTGGAAGACTCCAAACCAATACCTGAAAAGGAAAGGGCAGTGGAATGCAGCTGTAATCATTCCCCAGAGCCAAGTACCTACCCTAGAGAGAAAGAAATCTGTACCATATCAGCAAGTTTGCCATTTTCAACCACACTAGAGAAGAGACAGGATTCAGAGGAAGCCACAAAGATCAGTGAAAGCCTACAGAGTGAGCTCAGTGCTCAGCAGGAGAGCTCCAGCGACAAAAAAGAAGATGCTATGTTCCTTTCAGAAATGGTAAGGTGGGAACAACTAAGTGGTGCAGTGGATAGAGCACTGGCCCTGGAGTCAGGAGGACCTGAATTCAAATCTGGCCTCAGACACTTGACACTTACTAGCTGTGTGACCCTGGGCAAGTCACTTAACCCCATTGCCTAGCCCCCCCCAAAAAAAAAATTAAAAAAGAAATGGTAAGGTAGCAGCAGTGGCTAGTCTAACCTGGAGAGCCCTGCTCTATTTTCTAAAGTGTTCTTGCTCTAGTTGAAAATATCTCCTTTAAGGCTATAAGAGATCCCAAACGATCAGAATAGCTTTGCAGTTACACGTTGAATTTTTCATACACTTGAAAAAGAATAACAAATTCACATAAGAGATTTTCAATTTCACGTACAAACCTCTTCTGTTATACAATGTATATGAAACAATGCACTTTATTTGGTATTTGAGAACCAAAAAAAACGTTAAGATTACGAAAAACAAACCAAGAATTAGAAAATTTTTAATAGCTAGGGCTAGAAGGGACCGTGGAGATCACGTGGTCCAACTTCCTCATTTTTACAAATTATAAAACTGAGGCCTAGAGGGATTAAGTGACTTACCTCAAAACACACAGTTCCTCAGTGGCACAGCCAGAACTTTAAAAAACAAACCAACAAACCCAGGTCTCCTGTCTATTCCAACAAGTCTTTTCACTCTACCAAGAGTCCTTTCCTCCATCTACGAGCATCTACGAGCCCAATTACCTAGCTTACATTGTAGAATGTAATAAGTGTTTCATGAGTGGCAGAAGCCATTTAGAAAGAGTGTTTAAGAGATGCTAGGAAACACAAGGTAGCTAGGTGGAATAGCAAACCACTCCAGTATCTTTGCCAAGAAAACCCCCAATGGGATCACAAAGAGTCTGACACAACTGAAAATGACCGAACAACAATGAGGGAAACACAGGCTTTCAAAAGTTCTACCCTGAACTATTTTTCAATAGGAGTAGGCCAAGATTTGAGGTGGGGAAATTTTTTAAAAATTGAAAACTTTCCCAAGCCCTAACTAGATTTCCCCAAATCTAAATGAGCCTTTGGGCTTTGAGGTTTGTTGAATGGAGTAAGGGTTAAAAAGAAGAAGGGAAAACTAAAATCCTGACCACATTATGGGGAAAGACAGGAGAGTTTACTAGAAGACTAGTAAAATAAGTCAAAGGCTCAGGCATTTAGAATTTCAAACTTTGGCTGTTACGGTCTTATTTGGTATAAGTTATATTTAAGTGAGATATTTATAAATTCATCATCCATTTACTAATGAGGGCATTTATTTGGAGGAACCCAGGATGTACCTGGTATCAGAATGTTCACAAACTATTACTTCAGTTTCCCTGCCCCCAGCAGAAAGCCCTGGTGAATTTCCTGTAGAATGTAACCTCCTTAAGGACAGGGACTGTTTCATTTTTGTCTTTGTATAGCAAGTGTCTTACACAGAGTAAGGACACAATGTTTGCTGAATGAATGAGTGAATAAATGTATGAATATCAGAACTGAAAAAAAAAACCACCCTGCTAATCAGATAAAGGAATTTGTGATACATTTCAGGATGAAGATGACTCTTCGAGTGCCCTGATGTGGCCTGAGATTCAACAAGAGCTGAAAATCATTGAATCTGAGGAAGAGCTCCAGGCTCTACCATCAACTGCCCCAATGATCAGCACAAGTCAACCAATTCTTATCTCAAGTCCAAAGACCACCCTATCTCCTTGGACAAGGGGCTTCTCTGATGACTCCAGTCTGTCTGTAGTCCCCATGGAAGAGACTACAGATAAAACCAGTCAGGCCCCACCTCCAGAGGGTGCTGTTATCCCCATGACTAGAGTCCAAGGAGACCCACAGCAGCTCCACAGCCACCAGCGGACCGAACAGGCAACCAAGCTGTTGTCTGAGCAGAGTAGGCAGGGGGACTCTGCTTCTCCACAGGACAGTCTCCTAACGGGCAGCTCAGGGAATCTATTTTCACCTCCCCCACCTCTAGAGCAAACTCTTCAGAAAGAAGACTCTGTGACAAATAGCCCTGAGAGAGAAGAAACTTCAGAGGCTATGGGAGCAAATCCTCATTCACAGCAGACCCGGGCTGTAGACAGTCCTGGTGATCCTGGCAGCTTCTACCAGAGAGAAGAAGTTATCTCAGAACAGGGGGAAAAGCAAAGTCCCAAGGAGAAGACAGAGAAACTGGCTTCAGGGGGAGAAGGTCAACTAAGGGAATTTGGGACCTTGCCACATAGAGAGAGGGATAGAGCCAGTCTAATGCAGGACACTTTTGACTATGATGAAGAAGACACCTCCACTGACATTGCACCACAGAGTTTAGAAATGGTAGAGCCTTGGGAGGACCACCAGTGGGTCACAAGCCCTCTTCATTCCCCAACACTGAAAGATATTCAGGAAAATCACCCTCAAGAGCTCCTCCTGCTAAATCCAAGAAAGAAGAGGCTCCCTCATAGACCCAGTTTCGTTCAGAGTCATTCCTTAGACAGTGAAACTACCATGAGAAACCAGTGGACTCATCCATTCCCTTCATTGAGTAGCTGTGTCAGTCTGGGATCATTAATGGCTTTTGACCCTTTACAGCTGCTGCCACCCAACAGAGAAAAAGGTGAATGGGAAAAGAAAGCACCAAGACATTCCAAAGAGCTCTCAGAGCCAGAGGGAACAGAAGATGTCCTTGGCACGAATTCAGGGGGAGACATACAATCCAAGACAGTAAGAACTAGTCCTGTCTGCTTTACAGAGAAAGAAACAAAAGTTGATCAAGAAAGCCTTCAGCCAGACCCTTCGATGCCTGTGAATCAACAAGGTAGCTGTGGCTCAGGATCAGAGAATGCTAGGGAAAATAGTCCATCCAGAGTTCAGGACAAGGCCAGCCCCGGAATGCCTCTTGTTACCAAAGGTGAGTTGCTTCCTTCCCCCAAGTTACAGCTAAAGAATAATGATTGTGTGCCACCTAAAGGGAAGAATAGACCCTCTTCCCTCAACCTGGACTGTGTACCTCTCCTAAATGACTTCTTTAGGTTTGAGAATGTGATTTCACTCAGTTCACCTGGAAGCCAACTGTATGACCAAGGAGAAGCTAAAAAGAAAGATCCCAACTACCCATGGTCCCCCCTCTGCATGACCTCACCTCAAAGTAAAGCAGACCCCTGGAGAGTTCACTGTGGTCCCCAGGACCTAGATATGGTTACTCATGCCTTAACAGGCCGCCGTAATTCTGCCCCTGTGAGTGTATCAGCAGTGAGAACTTCCTTCATGGTCAAAATGTGCCAGGCCAGGGCTGTGCCCGTCATACCACCTAAGATTCAATACACTCAGATTCCACAGCCACTCCAGGCTCAGAACATAGGGGATGATGTACTTCCCCCTGTAGAGAAGGCCAAAGCAGAGGCCAGCCCAACTGGTGAGACACCTCCAAAGTCTGCTGGGGATGATTCACCTCCTTCCCTCGGGAGACCTAGAAAGAACACAAACCCAGAAAGAAAGGAAAACGATTCCATCCAGATGGACTCCACATCTTTTGTGTCTGATGACCACACCCTTTCTCCAGATCCATGCGTGTCTTGCCTCCTCTCCTCCCAGGATGCTTCAGTACCCTGCAGGAAACGTACATCAGAAACAGAACCATCTGGAGACAATCCACTTTCTTCAAAAATTGAGCGGTCGTCTGGGGTTTCCAAACCTTTCCACAGATCAAGACCGGGAAGACCTCAAAGCCTAATCTTGTTTAGCCCTCCCTTCCCTATCATGGATCACCCATCTTCCTCTTCAGACTCCAGGGTCTTACTTTCCCCTATCAGAAGCCCCACCCAAACAATTTCTTCTGGTGTCATTTGTGGTGAGCTGGCTGAGAACACGTGGGTGACTCCAGAAGGAGTCACACTTAGGAACAAAATGACTATCCCTAAGAATGGCCAGAGACTAGAGACCTCAACCAGTTGCTTTTACCAGCCTCAGAGGAGATCAGTGATTCTGGATGGAAGAAGTGGGAGGCAAATAGAATGACATCAGCTTACCTACCACTCTTTCACTTGGAACCTTTTACTCTGTCTTAAAAGACTACAGGGCTCTGTTAAGATTTGCCTGGGTATTATTTTATGGCCAACTCTTATTCCAGAGGAAAGTTAACCAGCTTTGGGATTTTCCAGGCTTTTTGTTTCCCTTTTGTATCCATTCTACTGGCAATCTTGAGGTGATTCAGGTGCTCATTAATACTTACTAACAGGATTCGGGTGCCCAGTGGAAAGGCAAAGATGAAATTCAATTCAGTCTATTTTCCTGCTTATTAGTAGCTAAAGGGAAACATGTTCAGTGAGAGAGATGACTAAAATGCAATCTGGAAATCATTTGTGAATTGTGTTTGTTCATTCATGCTATCTTTATCTAATACCATTGAGAGTTGGCCATAATAATGCCCTTTGCGACAAAGAACAATCTTTTTCCTGTATCAGAAGACATTGTTTCTGAGGTTTCTGGTTTCTTGTTTTCCTTCATATTATTTAATGCTTTTTAAAGCTCTTGCTTCTTTTTTAACTTTTTCTAATATGCTTCATAAAATTCTACTTTCAGAAAAGAGAGTAGATTTGGAAATATAAGCCTACTGTGCCCTTAGAAATTCAGGCAGGTGAATTAACAAATACACTTTTTCCTTGATGGTCCCACATCTATGCATGCCACCAAGCTGGTGCTACTGGCTAAAAGTACAGCATAGAAAATAAAACCCCACAATAACAAATCCTGTGATTGACACCAATTAGGAAGAGACTTTTTCTCATTTGTATTTAGCAATGTGTGAATTTGCCTGCCTTTCTCATTTACATACCCAGTAACTCGAGAAAAACATTGAGGGCTATGATAATGATGGATGCTCTTTTTATTTGGGGCACTGCAGTGCTAAATTGGAGCTATTTTGCTTCCCTCCAAATCTTTCAAATGTCAGAGTAAAAGAATATGTTATAGTATATAAACTGCCTGCATAGAAAATACGGGATGATGCCAGTATTTTTTAGCTAGTGGGGACAGATTCCTCCTTTTCCCCTCCTCCCTGAAAGGGCTCATTCTTGGGGGGAAGGATGGAGAAGGGAGACAGTGGCTAGTAAAGAGGTTCCCCCTGGCACCCCATCTATCCCAAGGTAAGAGCTCCCCTTACAGAAGATACATTTTAATTGCAGCCAACAAATCACCTCCTTTCTCCCTGCCTTCTCAGTTCTCCACCCATCCTCATGCTCATACATGCTCCTTAGTCTACTTTCTCCAGATACTTAAGGAAGAATCTAGCCTGACATTCCTCTGGCCCCAACTATTTCGCCTTCCTTATGGGATGCAAGAAAACCATACAACCACAATCTGGAGTTAGGTTTTTGAAAAAAGCACTCCAGCTTCAATCCCACATAAGACAACCTATATACCAGTTCATTTGCTTTGCTGCCCCAATAAAGGAAACTTTCCTGTTTAAAGGTCAAATGGAGATGTGACTGTATTGGTGATGCTTTTCCTAGTAGCTCTGTCACCTCTTTGCTCCCGCCATCCTCTTTTCAGGTCAAATCCTGGCTAACTCTAACACTCTGCCCAGGTTCAGCCACCCAAGAAGAATTAGGCAGAGATGCTACTCTACCCTGGCTTGATGACATTCCACTTCATTCATTTATAAATTCAAAAATGATGCCACAAGAAGGGACATAAGAAGTCACCTAGTTCAAGCCTCTCATTTTATGGGTGAGAAACAAGCCCCAAAGAAACAAAGTGATTTGCCTAAAGTCATACAGCTAGCAAGTGAGAGAACCCAAGACTAGAGCTTTCACTTTCTCCCCAATAAACCAGAAATTTTTTTTGGACTGGTATCTTGATCAGAGGTATCTGACAGGTCACTGTGTAGGAAGTATTGTATCAGTTGGTTTGGGGGAAGAGTTCTACACGTCAGGGGAATTGAAACAGGTTGAACAAAGAGGTTAAAGTTCTTTGGCTGGTTTCAATACATTCCTAATAGGGGCAATTAAAAATGGTGGCTGAGCTCAGCAGGGAAGGCAGATATTTAAGCAGTAAGGCAAGAGGATCTCCTTAAAAACTGACCTGTAGGAATGGGTTTTACTGGCATATAATGTTATTCTAGAGTTACATTAATTAAAAATAACTGGGGTGAGATTATAAATTTGGTGTCCAAAAATTTCAAATGTTGGAGTAGTTTCCTGTGCCAAAGATACATTTCCACCTTTAAAAAAAAATTTTAGTTTGAGACACAAGTCAATCCCTAGGCTCTTGTCAACTGCTCTTTGGTATGGACCATTCTGCCATCAGCTCTCCCTTAAGAACTGCATGTTAGAACACAATTAGAATTAAATGATGAAAGCATCAGCATTTTGCTTCATAATCAGAAAACCTCTGAGCTCAGTAAAGATATATTTAAAATATATTATGGATATTTTGAATTCTTGATTGTAACACATTAGAGTACATTTTTGTTATTTTGCTATTACATTGAAAAGCCATTGGGTTGCCTATTAGTAAGTGACTAAATTTTCAGTGCTCAGTGTTTGATTTCATATATATGTGTGTATATACATACACATCATACATACAGATGTGTGTATACATGTCTTCAGTTTGACTTTTAGATTCTGACACTATATTTAAAGACGCATCTTCAAGAGCTTAAGTGGAAGTTCTCAAAATACATATTGGAATTTGTCTAGGGACAAATTCTACCATCCTTCCCAAGCCAGTCAAATCCTACAGGCTTTGCATGCTGACTTTTCCTCAGAATGCCTCTGCTAGAATTTGAGAAACTTATTCTATCAGTAGTTTTCTATGAATGATTGACAAAAAAGAATAATACCTTCTTTGGTTTTCTATTTGATTCCTGGAGAAATAGACCCTAAATTCCATGAAGTTTTTCCCAGGCACTGCTGTATATGCAGGTACTAAAAGAAATCCTTTCAATACTTGTAAATGATAAAGCAAACCCCTCCAAGGCTTACTGTAACACATTGAAACCACTGACTAAAAAGTGACCCATCTGATTTCATTGTCCAGTGAGGAAAAATACCTTGGGTTTTCCCATTCATTCCCTTAGTTCATGCACTGAAATTGAGATCCTCTGAGAGTAGAAGCAAGTCAGGGCTGGCCATCTGTGACTGGGGAAGTTCTGATGCTGGGCCACTTCACAGTGTGGCTATGTTAGGAAGATACTATAGCATTATAGACTTGGTTTCATGCTAAAGAGAAAATGGCAATAACAATTCCTTGGGGAATTCCCCAAATTATCTGAAGTCAACTGATAGAAATTTTATCCCATTCAAACATGTATACACGGAGAAGCAGTTGAATTTTGTCACAGAATGGCTACAGCAGGCCAAGACTTGATGATCCTGTCAAAAAAAAACTAGAGTAAAGATATCTATCTATTCAAATGGAAATGGAAGTTTTGACTTAGTTTGATTCATTTGAATAGGAAGGAAGAAAAGCAGCCTCCTCTAAACTATGGTGAAGTCTGAGTCAAAAAATTACCAAGGATGTTAAAAATCCAAGCATCAATTAGCAGCAACAACAATAAACATTAAGTGCTTACTATGTAAATGATAGTCTCACAGTTTCATCAATATTTATTAAAAAGATTTATTAATTTCTTATGTAACTCCATATTATGAACAAAAAAGGCTGGCAGTTAAGACACAGCTCACATGAACTAGAAACACTGAATAAAGAAACTGGGATTGAAGAGAGTGCAATGTTGCTTTCTTAATGTTACTCTCTAGGCCCACCCATTTCCAGACAGGTATTTTCCAAAGGCTGTGTGGTTCCTACCAAAGTACTACTTGAGAACATTCAATACCAAATGAAGTGTCAACAGATTAGATAACCATCTGTGCCTTCTCGTTCTGCATGATTTTTTCCATTTTCTCCAGATAATGGAGAAAATATTCGATAAGTCTATCCAATGTGCTGAGAACCTCTTAACATTCTATTGGTAGCAGTGCCAACAATGAGACTGTTTTCATCTGAAAATGGGTAGGTTCACATGTGATTCTTCAATGACGGATTTTAGGTTCTAACATATTAGATAGTTGTATTTATTTTTATTGTTTCTTATATAGCAGAATCAGAAGAACTAGCCCAAATTGGGTAAAGGGGGAAGGATGGTGGGTGCAGGGAATGTCTACATGTGTCTTGGAGTTTCCTACATGAAGGGACACTACTGAACACCAAATTTACATGTCTGGAATTGGAGTGGAAGATCTTGGTTAGACTCAACCTAGCTAGATGACAGTCATGTACTGTATTATGGCCTAATTTCTCAGATGATGCCTTGAAGCTTAGGATGAAGTGTTCCCAGAAGGGTAATTCCAGATACTTTGAGGGTCAGGGGAAAAAAACAGGGAAGACCAATCTCTTGGCTGAGATAAACCCAACTCAATACAACCCAGTTTTAGCAACTAAGTGACAGAGCAGGAAGTGAGCAACTGTCTAATACAGGGATGAGGAGTGATTAGTTGGGAGCTCTACCATTTCAGAAAGCACATAATTAGGGATTATCCCAGCGTGTCCCCAAGCACACAACAATCAGTATTTCTTGACAGTAAGAAGGGAAATGTGAGTTACTTTTCTAATAAAGTGAGGGAGGGTAGGAAGTCCATGAACCACCACCATGGTATCGGAATGTGTGTTATTGGATGAGTTACAAGGCTTTGCAGTAATTTAGCACCACAGTACTTCCTCATTGATGATTTTGCAAGGTGAAGCACTTTTCCAAAGGTTTCTATTTGAAAGCCACAGGATTTCAGTTGTGTGCTGAAATCCACAAACTTGTTTTCCAAAGTATAATCAAAATATTTTTTTCTGATTTAAAATAAAATGTATGAATAAATATTACATTAAACATATACAGAGAAACATATAATGTGTAAAGATAATTGTTATGCTTCCAAAATTTATACTAATAAATATTTTAAAGTACAGTGTTTGTGCTGGGAAAATGAATGTGAGGAGACATTGGGATACTCATTAGAACTTGATTATGTCAATGACAGAATAAAGGAGTATCCCCTATGCATTTTCAGGTTCATGATTTTGGATTGGTTGGGCTTTGTTTAGGGTAATTTCTGAGGTTGGGGTGAGGTTTGGGAATGGGATAGTGTTGGTTTTGATACTGGCACTGGAGTTTTATATCAGGGTTAACACTGGAATAATGTTAGGTATGGCACCGTACCAGGCACTGGGTCACAAAGTATTAGGACACAAAGGCCCCTAGAGATCATTTAAATCTAATTCCTACTCCTCCATCCCCATTTTACAGATGGGAAACAGCTCAGGGGAAGCGGCTTGCCCAAGGTCACACAGCTAGTTAGTGGTAGTCAGGAAGAAGCCACCTTTCACTCTTCATTAAAAACATACTTAGTTTTGGACCCCGTTTCAGGCTGTGTTTAAAGAGGAGGTGGAAGGGCTGGGCTTAATTGTGCATGTCTGTAATCTCTGCTACTGAGGTGGATCACAAGCTCTGGAGTTCTGAGCAGTAGGCTAAGCCATTTGGGTCTCTGCAGTAAGTCTGGCACCAGTATGGTGAGCCCCAGGAGTGAGAACCACCAGGCTGGCTAAGGAGGGGTGAACTGGCCCAGGTTGGAAATGAAGCAGGTCAAAGCTCCCATACCAATCAAGGTGCATGAATAGCTGTTACACTTCCAGTTTGGGTGAGATAGGGAGACCAAATTTTTTTTTAAAATGGAGGTCAAAGGAATGGGCATTGACAGATTAACATAAGAGTTGCAACTTTACATTATAACAGCACTATGTACTGCCTCCCAGAACAAACTTCTGGATTGAAAAAGTTGAAACTGCATTAACATGAACCAGATTCACCCCAATAGGCAGTCCTTTTTGATGCTGACAAAGCTCAGCATCAAATATTTCTCTCCAAAAATAGGGCTGTTTAGAAAAAGTTAAAGACACACAGGAACACATACTTCCTGGGGAAAGTCTTACGACAACTCCCACCACTGAGACAAATCCTGTCCCACGATTATTATAAGATCATAACTTTACAACTATCAGAAGACAAGCCTCATATAATTTCACATATATTGGCCAGACTAGCAATATTCTGGGGCTTAATTGTGCTCAATTTTACTTTTTCATGAGCCCAGAGCTAGGTACAGTCTATCTTTTAGGCTACTCTAGACCTTAACTCTAATCCCCTTTGGACTCTACTTCTACATTACTAAATTTTCCCAAGTTATTCTGTACTAAGGATGATTTGTGGATAAGTCAAGCCCTGAACTTCCTCAAGGAAAAAGGTTTCTAGACCAGAAATTAACCAGCCTGTGTGTGTAGAGTTGGGAACAAAAAGGTTGCCAAGCTGTTGTTTTAAAACTAATGTCAGGGGCTGCTAAGTGGCACAGAAGGTAGAGCTCTGGTCTTGGGAGTCAAAAGGACCTGAATTCAAATCCAATCTCAGACACATGATACTTACTAGCTGTGTGACCCTGGGCAACTCACTTAACCCCAATTCCCTAAAAAAATAAAATAAAAATAAATAAAACTAATGTCATGCCAAAGATGTATTTCAGCAATGTGGCTACTCTCTTGACAAACCTAGAAGGTAAATCCTAACTTAGCAGATGGTCTTTGAAAGTTGCTGTAGCAAAACAAAACATTAATCACCCTGTGGCCAACCTAGTGATAAGCCTCTTCCAACTTAGCAAAACTGGTCCTCAGATGAATTATATTATCATGTCTGCATTTAGAAGCTTTTCCATCTTGATAGTACCTATCATAGCTTGTGTTCTTCTGACATAGTCTTCAAGAACCCAGAGGCATCTCCACACTATTATGAGCCATTGCAATATAACTTTCGTGGAGGTTCACATACTAATCTTAAAATAAAGACTGTAAAATAAGATAATCTGCATGTGCATGTAGGGGGCTGGGGGAAATGCTACTGTCTACACATAAGGATCATCTAGCACCGCCAGTTCTCAATGGATGAATCTGAAGTGTGGCAATACCTACTACTCAGGATCCAAATAAGTCCCTCATGCTTATAGAATCACACAATCTTTGAGTTGGAAGCAACCCCTTCAAATCCTCTCTGCAATGACATATGGCCACATATATAGTCTCTGCTTAAAGACCTCTGGTGAAAGGGGATACACTTTTCTCCCAGGAGAACCCAGTTAACTTTGAGATAGTGCTAATTGTCAGGAAGTTGTTTTTTTTTCTTTTTTTGGGGGGTAGGCAATAGGGCTAAGTGACTGGCCCAGGGTCACACAGCTAGTGTTATGTGTCTGAGGCTGGATTTGAACTTAGGTCCTCCTGACTCCAGGGCTGGTGCTCTATCCACTGCACCACCTAGCTGCCCCTCTTTTTCCATCAGGCTTTGTCCAACCCACTGCTCCTAGTTTTGTTCTCTAGAGTGAAGCAATACAAATCTCTAGCGCGAGACAATACAAATCCCTTTTCCATATGATCAGACCTTCAAATATTCAAAGGCAGCTATGATATCTGTCCCTCTTCCCCTCAATGTTAAATATCCAGTTTCTTCAACCAGTCTTCTTATAGAGTTGTCAGTAGTCACCATCCTGTCACCCATTCCTAAAATGCGGTAAGCAGAATGAAGCACAACAAGCATAGCGGGACTATCACTTTCAGGTTGAACATTATGCCTCTTAATGGATCTGAAGACTGTATTAACTTTTTGGCTGTTAACATCATATTGACGACTCCTGTTTACCTGTTTGAGTCCACTCAAAACCCCCAGATCTTTTTCACACAATGCCTAGTGGCATCCTATATTTGTGAAGCTAATCCTTTTTAACCCAAGTCGAAGGCTTTATATGTATCTCTATATGATTAGGTGATTAGGTTTGATTGATAGGGTATGGTTGGGTTTATCATTCTGGCTGAGATATTTTTAGAACTCATATTGTATGCCATCCCACCAGCTTTGTGTTATCCACAAATTTGAAAAATATGCTGCCTTCAGTTAAACATTTTTTTGAGTACCAGGTAAATATGGGGCCATTCCATTAAAGACTTCTCCCCGCAAAGATGTAAAAATCACTTCATTAGTGACAATTTTCTAGGTCCAGTCATTTAACCAGTTCCAATATGCCTAACTTTGCTACCATCTAGGCCACACCTTCCACTTTACAATGATAGCATGAGAGACTTTTGACAAATACTTTGCTCAAATGTAAGAGATAGAGACAGAGAACATTCCTCTAATCTAGTTTAATAACCACATCAAAAAAGGAAATGATATCATTCCGGCATATGTTCTTGATGAAGTCATGCTGACTCTTAGCGATCACATTTTTGTCTCTAAATGCTGACAAATACATTCTTTAATATTTTAGAATTTTGTTAAGATCAGCAATCCTCTATTGTAATATATTCTCTTGGCTCTGCTTTCTTCACTCTGTATCAACCCATGTCTTTCCAAGTTTCTCTGAATCCCTCATATTTGTTCTTTCTTGCATTGCAACCATATGCCATTACATTCACATACCCCAATTTGTTTAACCATTCACTTGATGTAGTAGGATTTCACATTTCTGTGACCAAAAGTGCTGTATGTGTGTGTATAGGATCTGTCCTTGACCTCTTTTGGTTATATTCCAAGTAATTTTCCCATCCTATTTGGGCCAGCTTCATCCATAGAAATTTAGGTCATGAGAGCCTATTTATCCTTCTATTCTGAAATTTGTTCTTCCAAAGTCTAAGGTGCATGTCAGACTTTGCCTGGTTTTTCTTTTTCAGGTATGAATTTTAAGATGGAATGATCAGTCATTTCCCTTTAATGTTCTCAAGCTTTCTACTTTAGCAACTAGGGTTGGCTTTGGGCAAACTTGGGAAATTCTCATTTGTCTAGGAGTCATTTTTCTCCAATGTGCTCTCCACCCCATTCAATTTTGCCTTTAGTTAATAATCTCTTTAAGGTTAGTTAATAAGAGCAGATTTAGAGGTCAGGATTATGTACATTTAAAAAAAGAATTCCATAAAACCCAAGTTTTCAAGATTCAATGGAATGCATGGGGGGGGGAGGGCTGGCTAGGCAATGGGGTTAAGTGACTTGCCCAGGGTCACACAGCTAGCAAGTGTCAAGTGTCTGAGTCCACATTTGAACTCAGGTCCTCCTGACTCCCAAGCTGGTGCTCTATCCATTGTGCCACCTAGCCCAATGGAATACATTCTTAATAGAAATTCAAGGTTTTGACAGGTTAGGACTCACTTTGAAGAGGTAATTTTGTACACCATCTCCTTGAAAGTGGCAAAAAAGTGATATTCATCCATCTCCTCAGGGCTTCAAGATCCCCACCACAGTCTACTCCCAATCTGCCTTTTTCTACCTTCTTTTTAGAGGGCATGTCTACTCTAGCTCAATGTATAATCCATGCAGAGTGGTCTCCTAATTTCAAAGATATTGCCATTGCCCAAAACATTTCTGGATTCCTTCTAATTCCAATTTAGTATAACCAATCAAGATGCCTACTTTAAAGGTGACACTTGGATCTGAGCTCTATGTGGGCTAAATATCCAACGAAGTTCTATTGCAATGTCTCGCCCATCACAAGGAAGTGACCCTTGTTTTCTGAAAGTCATGTCCAGCGTGCAAGCTTCAGCAAGCAGGTTCTTCCAATCTACACACACAGTGCAACCTGCTGATGTACTAGCTATGTCATCACATCTGATAGTTTAGAAAAGTTCATTATCAAGATGACAGAATGGTGACATCTTTGTCAGTGACAATAATTTATAAAGATCATGTACTAAAATATAGAAGTATCAAAGGTATGAATCCTTTTAAGTATTCTAGCTAAAGGGTAAAGTCACACGCCTCTCATGGAACCTGTCTCCCCAACTATGTCTCTGTATCCCCAGAGCACCTAGCAAAGTTGGGGACATAGTACATGCTTGTTGGAGATTTGGTGATATACAATGTAGCCAAAATATTGAGTCATTCTTTGTCTTCCTCAGTCTTTTAACCAATTCACAGGCTGGGCCAGATACTAAATTATCTCATCTTCACTCACCAATTTTCTCTCCCATAGTCAAACT